TTTTCTAAGAGTTTCGAATCAGGCAGACCCAGTTTTGGGACCCAATTTCTGGCCTCAAAATGAGGGCCAAAAACTGTGCGATTTCTGATGAGAAGACACACTTTTGACGCTCGCCAAAATTTTGCCCGACGTGAGGACCGCTCCCGACATAAGACAATAAAAATGCACCGCTGCGTGGCAAGTGGTCGGTGGTGGGCCTGTACTGATTCATATAGGCGCCATTCAGGTTGCCACTGTTGCAATTCAGCTTGTCATGTGCAATACTTGTTCCGTTATAACGCTATTGCCAACAGTCTTAAGCGACCGCTGACTATCTTTGCGCCCGACCCAAACATGTGGTGCATGCTTTGCGTGTCTCCGCAAAATTGAAAGCACACTTGCCATGTTTTACGGCCCATTCTAGGGTCCCATTTTTGGGCCCCAAAGCGACGACCCGCGCGGTGCCACGTTTTTCAGCGATTTTTCCAACGGGCAGCCCGCAAAAGTTGGAAAAAAGGCTCTGGGAGGTCCTGATGAGGTTTTGGAGCCCTTGAAGGGGACCGTGAGGCCTTACCTGAGTATTTGAAAGACTGGTAAACCGTATAACCCTTGAGAAAGCGCGTGTAGCAGACCTGTGCACGAGTACTACACTCAAAAAATGTGGGAAAACAGCGTGTAGTACCTTGATTCCAAGTAGAAACATTACATGAACCTTAAAGTTTTGAAAAAACTATGCATTCATGTAGTACACTGTGGTTTTTGCCCAGCGCGGAGCGTGTAGTACCAGTTTTGATGAAATTACACCTGAGGCGAAATCCAGCTTTTCCCACAGCGCGGAGCGTGTAGTACTAGTTTTCATGAAATTAGACTGGCCGAAAAATCGAGCTCTTCCTACAGCGCGGAGCATGTGTGACACCTGGTTTTTAATTTGCAGTTCTACAGGTCAGGGGCTTTCAAGCTTCCTGCAGACTCTGGGGCCTTCAAGCCTTTGTGTTTAAAAGGGGAAATGGACTCCGTGTGAAAGCAGGAAAATGTCCAAGTAATTGAGGACTGGAAGCCATCCAGGCTGGCGGGAGAGGCAGCCAGCAGGTTTTGCAGGCTTGCTGTAGGGTCTGTAGGGGCGGCGTGCGGCAGGGTCTGCAGGTTTGCTGCAGGATCTGGGTCTGTAGGGTCTGCAGGCTTGCTGCAGGGGTCTGGGCCCGCAGGCCCTGCTGGCCTGCAGGCTGCTGCAGGGTCTGCAGGCTTGCCGAGGGGGCCTACAAACCCTGCAGCTGTAGGCTTGCTGCAGGGGTCTGCAGGCTTGCTGCAGGCTGCTGCAGGGCCTGCAGGCTTGCTGCAGAGTCCGCATGCTTGCTGCAGGTCTGCAGGGTCTGCAGGTTGCTGCAGTGTTACATGCAGGGTCTGCAGAACGCAGTAAGCAGCGCAGCCCGAGCTTGAGAGCTACCTTGAAATTGCAAGGGCTTGGAGCCTGAAGAGCCTGGAAAAGGATGCTTGTCTCCGGTCATAAGCCCTTGCGTGTGCCCCCGAGCCCCCAATGGCAATGTTGGACGCTGAAGGTCGGTCTGACATAACCAACGTGTTGCAACATTGCCATGGGGGAAAGGGGATTTTCAACAACATTTTATTGATTTGGGACAAGGTAGGCCCTTTGCTTGGGGGTTTGGAGAATGTGCCTCGAGTGAAGCCAAATCAGACCCCAAAAAGACACAAGAAGCGTAGGACACGTTTGAGTGCCCCCGCAGTAACGCTACCAACCTAGTCTTCGCATACGTACGACGCATGCGGGAAGCTAGTACGACTAGCCAAAAGGGATGTGGAGGGTGGGGCAGAAAACGGAAGCTACGCTTCAAGCTTCAAACGACTGCGAGGGACAACGTTTGCCCCGACCTTCGTCTTAACAAACGTGTTAGGCAAACGTTGCCTGCATTCGTTTAAGCTGACGATAAAGCACAATCACGCACGCGTGAAGGAAGCTTATCGAAAGCTTAACCCAATTCAAGCCCGCTGGGAGGATTCTTTTCCTTTGGGCGGAAAGAGCGGTGGGGTCAGATTCAGGCTGCCGGTGCAGCTAGGTGCACCGGGGCCGGAACTTCTCCGGCGTGAGACAACGTGCCCACTGATAAAGCCTTGAACGCCTACAGACCCCACCTCAAGAGAGACCGGAGAGGCCCAACGCGTGCTCAAGGGCCCTGTGCGGCAACGGCACGCGCCGACCTTCCAGACGTAGAATCTGGCAGAAGTCACCCCTACTTGAACCGTCCGCAATGTTACTGGCGGTCGGCACACGCGGAGACGGTCCTCTTCCTGCACGGCAGAAAAGGTGATAGCCGCTCCCTCTTCTTTCCGAGTGAAACTTTTGGCCAGGGACGCCCTGGCTGCATCGTTATTAATGAACACAAGCAGGTTACGGCCCTGGTCAGCCCATATGGCTGCAACATCGAGTGGAAGCTGGTGTCCCCACCCCAAGCCAGAGCACTCCACCAAAACCGCATACAGGGCAGGCGCTCGAGGCATCCCACTCACATGCGCCGTCCAGCCATAGGTGGAACGTCTCGTCCACAGGCTGGATGGAGCGTAAACGTGGGGCTCCATCCAGGACCATTCTTGTCACAAAGTTCAGTGCACGCCTCTAAGTGTCAGTCAATGGCTGGGAAAGTCGGTGGCAGAAGAAACGTCTCCAATGGCCACCACTGCCTGGCGGGCATTACGGCCCCAAACTTGCTGCTCAGCAAAGATAAGGCGGCCGCGCAGACGCTGCGCCTCTTCGTAGGTCATCGTCCCTTTGTTGTAATTTGTTAAATCGTCTGCTTGAGCTCCTCAATACGCTGAGGCGTGTTACGGACCTGAACCACGCCTTGGTACTGACAGCTTATGTCAATGCGAACGCCGAGGACGTCGAAGACCTCGGAAAACGGCTTGTTCTTCTTCTCTTCGGGGGCAACGTGCCAGCCCAACTTCTGGAACAGGTCTAAAACGACAGTCCCAACATGGGAGGAGTTAACGTCAACAATCATCGAAAAACGAGGTTATTGCAAGGAAGAATTTTCTTCTAGCGATGCTTTTCAGGGCTTCTCCGCATTGGAGAAAAGCGTGCACGGCCGCCACGGCCCCGAAGGCAAGGCTGTGCAAGCGACAGAACTGGATACGCACTTTTAAGGTTCCAGGTGCGACCCACGATCCTGTCGGACGCGATGAAGGCAGTCGAAAACGCAACCAAGAGAGGCACGCCTCTACAATCTCATCGATCCCGTCCAATTGGACTTTTTCCTGAAAAACGAAGCTGGCCTTAAGATTGTCTATGGGACGGACTTTCTGTTTCTGGACCCCAAAACGTGGGGAAACAACAGAGAAGCGCATCAGTTCTTCATGGCCGCAAAGGGATAGCCACCCGTTGGCGTTTTCTTGCAGGGTAACGTCCCACACTTGCTGTTCTGTTGTTGCATCACGATGTCGGCAGAGTCCTTTCACGGATCTAGTTGTGATATCTTCTGCCATGGAACACAGACAACGGGGGGTGAGCTTGGGCGGCTGCGCGTCAGCGTCCCATAACCCTGACGCGGGGAGCCAATCCACTATGGGGAAACCTTCCCGCATAGAACGCGCCACGGCTTGGTCAACGTGACCGAGGCACAGGAGATGTTGAAAAACGTGGTAAACATCCGGGCTCACTTTTCCTACCACGCTCTAAAGGCAAAACAACTTTTCTCGCTTTCGACTCTTGAGCCTAAGCCTCCGGTGTTAAACTTGTTCTGCTCAGACTTAACATGCCTTAGGGCATTTGGTGTCTTTCCTACTGCACCCATTCACTGTACCTGGATACATGCTGTACACTTAACACCCCGCCTCGGAACAGATCGAAGGCTTTAGGGCGTTCTCTTTCCTGCAGTGATTCTCACTGCTGTGCCAAAAGACAAAGAGCTGTTTCGAACTTCAAGTGTACTGAACTGGGGACATTCGTCTCCTTTGGTCCAAGGTCTTTTACCCAGTTCTCTCTGCTCTGTTTTCTTGAAACATGCATAAACTCCTAATCTCGAATTTCTAGTTACACGGGCTTGTCTTAGAGTCCTCATCTTGTGAGTCTCAGCCCTGTGGCCAGCCTATGGCTCTTGTGTGGTCTTCTCTTTTACCTAACCATCTTCTTTCTTCAACTGTTCTTGCCTCTACCTGGCTGCACCTTACACTCCTAGTCCTGCTTCGTGAAACTCTTCGTGAAACTTCTTTCTTCTTGGTGAAACTCGTGTGAATATCACAAGGCGTATTGGGGTCCTTGCTTATTCAAAAACATTCGTTGTACCTACTTTGTACTTCGTGCAATGTTCGGGGTGCTCGAACTTCTATGTACACAGCTTCAGAAAATCTATACATGCTTCACGCTGCGTTCAGTCGTCACCCTTCTCGATGCTTCTTGCTGGTTTATTCTTTTCACCAGCCTTTCTTGCCTCCACCACCATACTTCCATTTCCCTTTGCCTTGGTACTTCCCTTTCGGGGCGTAGTGGTAGTAGGCGTAGTCTGCGTCCCAGTAGTTCTGGCTCCAACCGTCGTCGGCGTACCAGTCCTGCTGCTGGTGCCAACTTTCTTGCTGCCAGTCTTCTTGCTCTCGACCTCTTCGGCCTCGCTTTCCTTCTTGCTGCACCTCAGGCTCATCTCTCTCTCTTCTTATTTCTGTGGGGCTCTCCCACCTTCCTGTCTTCTTGAAGTGCTTGGTCACGAGGTTCCAGTCTTCGGCACCTTTGATCTGCGCTCCTTTCACCTGCGCCGATCCTTTCTGATCAAGCCGAACTGCTCGATACTCATTCGTGTCTTTGCAATACTCCCAAATCCAACCACAATCTGTGAACGTGACCACATTCCATCTGCCCTTTGTGTTCTTGCTACCTTTCTCTCCTCTCTGCGGTGGTTCTCGGGGCTACTTTCTTTGCCGATGATTTACACTTTTGTGATGTGATTGCCAGGGAGACTGACCTGGATTCCTTCCTGCATAAGGCTGGGAAACTCTTTTTGCACTTGCAAAAGTTCAACATGCTAATCAACTACAAAAAGTTTGCTGTTCTCATGCATCTTAAAGGGGCCTGTGCCAAAAGATGGCGAAAACACCATGTCTTTCACCGTGAAGGTGGTCAGTTCTTGCGCATCCGAGTGGGTGAAGCCATTGCTTTTCTGCCCATCAAAACTATTCATAAGTACTTGGGGATTGTCTTGTCTTATCAGGCATATGAAAAAGCCACGGTCCTGCATCGGTTGGCACAGAGCAAGGCTGCGTACCACCGCCTCAGGCCTGTCTTGACGTCCAAGAGTACCTTGAATCAGCGAGAGCGCTTGAGAGTATGGCAGGTCTGTGTTCTGTCGTGCCTGCGTTATGGACTGGACTCTATTCCCTTGACACAAGGCCTGCTTAAGCTAATCCAAGTTCAGTGTGCCAGACAGATCCGTGCTATCACCCGCTCGCCGGTTCACTTGAGTAGAGAACCCACTGCGAGGCTGTATGCCCGGCTGCATATTCCCACTGAGCTCGCACATCTCCGTGGTATCCAGGCCAAACAGCTGCCTGAGGCTCAGAGCCGACAAGTTCAATGTGAGTCGTTCTGCCTAGAACAGATGGACTGGCTCATGAAGGTCAATGCTGCATATGAACAATTGCAGGAACCTCTTCCACCGGTTGCGAGCACTGTGCCTGACTCCGCTTCTGCCTCCACCACAGCACTCGTTCCCCTACCGTTGGCCACGAGAGGACAGGGATGTCCAGTGTGCGGTCTCTACTTCAAAGATAAGACGGGTGTGAAAATCCACATGACCAGAAAACACCTGGACTCTCAGGAGGTGCCCAAACCGTTGTGCGAGCAGAGTCGTTGTGGCGTGGATGGCATGCCAACATGTGCTGCGTGTCGTCGGCCTTTCTCCTCGTGGGGTGCCCTGAAGCAACATGTGCTTGGTGGCCACTGTAGGCTGCCCATGCCGGAGCAGACTCCCTTGGACAATCTGCCGCTTCAACAACATCCGCTGGTGATAGAAACAGTACGCACCCAAGGATGGCAGGGTTTGCTTGCTCTTCGTCTTGTCAGGGAGCGTGCACTGCACTTCTGCCCGTTGTGCAACCAGTGGTGTGTGAATCCCAGTGGGGTCAAGGTCCATCTCCAGGATGTGCACCTGCAATGGCATGACCTGCAACCACGTATAAAACAAATTGCTTCGTTTTTCCGTAGAGGGATGGTTCAGCCGTGCCGATATTGTGGGTCCCGACATGCCGCTAGATGTCCTGTGATCAGCGCCAGTATTCTTCTTGGCAGCCTCCTTGCTGAGCGTGATGGCGGGAGCCAGTGCGAAGGAGATGGAAGCCTTCTTTGGCAACTTCCGGCAGGGGACTGTGCCGATGGAGGACTCCGAGAATCCCTTCAAACGTCGCCGCGAGATGGAGGAGGAGGAGTCGAAGGCATGGAGCTCCCAGAAGCCCAAGAGCAAGGGCAAGGGCAAGGGGCGTGGGAAAAATGGTGGCAGGAGAGAACAGATGGACACTTCCGGAGGGCAATGCCTGGCGGGATCACTACGGCAGATGGCACGGCTGATCCTGAGGCACGAGGATCAACTGAGTCTCCAACGTCAAGACTCGGTTCTCCATCTGTGGCTGAGAAACACTGGCGAGGAACCCATTGTGGGGATGCTGTGGGAGGTGTCCAAAAAGTGGAAGAAGATGCGAGACACCACGCCAGCTCAACTTCAGGCATCGTTGAGGGCTACGATGATGGCTGGCATGTTGAAGGCCCTGAAGGACCGTCTCCACCAGGTATCTACAGACGAGAAGCTGCTGGAGAATGCGAAAAATGTGCAACTCCTGGATGCGCAGGGTCACTGGGTGTACCAAGTCTGGGACCACGAGCTGGAGAGGCTTCAAGTGGACGCCAGTCGCACACCCCTGAAAACAGAGGAGATTCAACAGCTGCTTACGGTCTGCGAGAGGGCCAACGAGAGTCCGGTGCTGTATCGCTTCCATGCGAAGGCCGAGTACAGCTTCTCGGAGTTCGTGCACTTCGAAATAGAAGTGGGTCACCGGGGTCAGGAGGCAGCGGACCTGTGTCGAAGCCTGAAGGTGCTGTGCCAGTGTTCGGTTTTGCAGATCATAGGTGCTCGTCTTCGCAAAGACAAACCGGGACGGTCTGCAGCAGCACAGAGGATTCAGGACTGCCTTCGCTGAATCCACTGGGTACGCTGCCCTTCGTGGATGGGGGACGATGTGTGCAGTGCATTCACCTGGGAATGCAAGAGGCCCTCCGGCGCAGTTGTCTGCCTGAGTCTGTGATGCATACCTGTGGCCTTGCGTGGCTGGTAGGCACACTGTGGATTTTTACTTACTTGCGAGGCCCATGCCCCAGAGTCTGCAGCGTCTGTGGAGGGTGCTTCAAGCACCGGATCCTGGCCCTTTGTTGCAAACCATTAAGGAGTGGCGCCTCATCCAAGGGGAATGGGCGAGGTGCAGTTCTCATCACTTTGGAGCCATGCAAGTTCTGTTTCAAGTGCACATGCCAGGCTTGCGATGCGTTGATGGTAGCTGGCAACAGAGATCAGCTGCTGGAGGCCGGGTGATGATTTGCGGAACTAGGTCCACATCACATGGTATTGGCCTACGTGTTCCTGCAGACTCCATGACTGTGGATGTGCAGCAATGCCTGGAGGCTTGGGCCTTCTCTGATGAGTTTTGTGGCCTGCTAGATCCTCCGTCCGTTATTTCACTCTACCTTTTGCCTGCGCGGAAACCTGACACGGATCGGGACCCATCGCAGCGGAGTGATGCTGTAGCTTTGTCTCCGGATATGCCCAGCTCTGCCTGAAGTTTGTATGCGTCTTTCCCGCGCATTACTTGGGACTGGGATACCATTCTGGTACCAACCTTTGCCGACATGTCTTCCCTTGACATTCACTACACTGCATACAGTGTTCAGGCAGTGGGCATGCACCTAGGGGGGGCGTCGGGAAACTCTCTGGGCAAGTACTGCACCATCCTCCGTCACCGTGATGACTTGCTGCTTGCAAAAGAAGCCCATGCTCCGTATGCCTGTACTCTTCAGCATGGGCATCAGCGAGGTGCTAGAATGCTGTGGTGTGTCAGACGTGCGCCATCGGAGCTGACCCAGGCAGAGTGCATCTGAGATGAGATGAGCTGTACAGGGATGGGCTACTGATTGTAAAGTCTAGGAAGTCTCTGACTCCCTTGTGTACAAGCTGTACAAGATATGAAGATGCGTTTCACACCATCAGGGCCCTAGCGCCTATTTAAAAGGCCGGCAGCTCTCTCTGTTTGCCGCACTCTTGATTGCTCGCTAGGCAAGGATAACTTTGCTGCGTCTCGAAAGTCGAAAAAAAAGGCTTCGCAGGACGAGAAACAAGGTGGGGTGGATTTAGAAGTATTCTCTTCGCCTCTCTTCTCCTACGAAGCTTCGCAGGACGAGGGTGGAACTCCTACGGACTTCGCAGGACGAGAAGCCAGGAGGAGGAATTTGAGAGTAATTCTCCTTGCCTCTCCTCTTGTCAGGCTCTCGCAGGACGACAAGAAACAAAGGGGGTGGAATTTAGAATCATTCTCTCAAGACGACAACCACTACAACTTCTACTACTACTACTACTACTACTACTACTACTACTACTACTACTACTACTACTACTACTACTACTACTACGACTAGAACTATCAGTACTTCTGACTACTTCGAAGAATATTAATACTGTTTGAGTTGAGTTAACCCCAACCCGAGTTGGAGTTCGAGTGAACCTGAACTCCAACCTGAGTTGGAATTGAGTTAACCTGAACTCCAACCCAGCTGTCCGGGTTCGACACCTCTGGTTTGGACCAGCGGAAGCACTGCCCTTCTTGTCTTTGCTTTTTGCCTGCTCTGCGGCCGCTGTACTCCAAAGAGGCTTTAGAGCGGAGCCTTGCCTTTCGCCTTGCTCTTCCCTTTACTTTTACCCGCTTTGCCCATCCCAGCGGGCATCCTGCAGGCCTCCCTTCCGGGATAAACAGCTGCGGAAGATTCATACATGCTTTGCACCCCCAAAACACAGTTTGGACTGTTGTGTCGGGGTTTTTTGTCTTTGGGTTTTTGGGAGTTCTTTTTGGGTCCAGGCTTTGGGGCATTAACCACAGCCTTGCTGCTAGAGGATGCAAAAACGCTCTGCTCTCCTGTAACTTTTTGTGTGGTGACACCATCGGATGCTCAGCACCAAGGGGTGGCACTACAACACGCAAACCATTACTTTCAGGCTTTTGGTGTGCTTGAGGAGAATCGAGGTTGGGTGGGCTGGTCAAAACCGACTGAAACCGCGTCAACCGAGGGAAGGGGGGAGGCTTCGAAGGCTTCGAAGGTGAGGACGCAGGCTTCGAAGGCTTCCAAGGGTGAGGACAAAGGGGGGGGGGCTTCGAGTTTCGAAGAATGAGATCCAAAAAAGAGATCCAAAAAACAAAACAAGATTCGGGGGGTGGAATTTAGAAGAAGTCCCTGCTCTCTTATCTTCCAAAAAGAAATTACAGGCCTTCGAAGAAATTGAGGGGGTGGAATTTAAAACAATTCTCCACTCTTCTCTTCTACAGGCTTCGAAGGACAACAATAATTCTTCACTCTTCTCTTCCACAGGCTTCGAAGGACAACAAGAAACTGAGGGCGTGGAATTTAGAATAATTCTCTCCTCTTCCCTTCGACTCTTATCTCTTTTCGAAGGGGGGGGGTAAGCGCCCCCCCCACACCCCCCCCCGGAAAGCTTGCCCCGGAGGGGGAGTATGCGCCGAGTCAGCCAAGTCAACGCTGTCGGAAACCTTCAATTCCAACACTACCTTGAACTCCAACAAAAAACCGCCTCGAAGCCTTCCAAGCTGAGGTTCGAAACCCCAAATTGCAGAAGCGATGGTCTTAAAAAGCTTCGAAGGCTTCAAAGGTGAGAGCGAAGAGGCTTCGAAGGTTCGAAGGCACGAACAAACGGGAAGAGGCTTCGAAGGTTTGAAGGTGAAGACAAAAAAAGGCGAGGACGAAGGGGGGGCTTCGAAGGCTTCGAAGCATAAGGACGAAGGGGGCCGAAGACTTTGAAGGTGAGGACGAAGGGGGCTTCGAAGGCTTCGAAGGCGGGGGAGGGGGCTTCGAAGGCTTCGAAGGTGAGGACGAAGGGGCTTCGTCTTTCGAAGCCTTGAAGCCTTCGAAGGCCCCTTCGTTCTGATGAGCTGAAGGGGGGCTTCAGACTTTTACTTCCGCTGCGCTCTGCTCCTCGGTGCCTCCTGCCTGCTGTCCGCTGACTCAGGCCAAGTCATTCCGAGCACCGCGTGCTCGACGTTTGGTGCCCAAGGACTCCCGCGCATAACATCGTTCTCGTCGATGTTCTCGGGATCTCCTTCGCTAATGTCATGCTTTTCCAAGTGCGCGTTCACCTTTCTTGCATTTCCCAACAGTTGATCAAACTCCTTGAGCAAATTGATCACTTCATCATCATCTTCAATCTCTTCAATTCGAACACTGCTGTGCTCCTGCACTCTTCTCACTCTCTCGTTTCCACTTGCCTGTTGGGCTACTCGTGCGATTCCTCCTTTCCACTACTCGCACTCGCTTGTCCCTCGGATCTCTCATCTTTCTCCCATGTCCAGGAGTTCTGATTCCAAGTTTCATCTTCACTCCATTCTCCAAACTGCACTTGTCGAACTTTCCCTTTTCCAGACTTTCCTTTTCCACTTCTGCCAACAATCTGCTGCAAAGTGTCCGGGCTTTCCACAGATACAGCAAGTTGACTCCTTTCCGTTTCCTTTAGACTCTCCGTAGCCGCAGCCCTTTCCATTTGCCTGATGCCCTTTGAGCTATTCTTTCCGCGTCCTTTTCCTCGTCCTTTTTTTGCCTTTTCCACGGTCTTTTCCAAATCCTCGGCCTCGGCCATCTTTCCTTGTCCTTTTCCTTTGTCGAGGTCCTTTTCCTTTTCCTTTGTAGCTCTCTTGATTTTTTCCTTTTCCTTTGTACACTTGGTCAATCTCCATCCGGATCGGTCCCTGATAATTCGAGTGCTTGTTTGCTTGCGCGAATTTGCCACTGCCAACGATGACAGTATGCAGCAACCTCTTGGTATGTTGTCTTTGGTGAACGTTTGCTGTCAACTGCTCCAGCTCAGCGTTCATTGCTGGAAGGTTATTTTTCCTTTGTGTGCAACCGAAAACGTTCGATGAAGGAAAAAATTGCGACGCTTCTGTCCGCCGATTCGTATCCAGGGTGCTTCCAGCCAAAACTCGCTCGTCACGTAGAATGCGTAGCGCGGCTTTCCACCATCTGGAAACCAAACTCACATGCACTGACTCAAGAGCTTTCAAAACCAGGAAAAACGCGGCGTGTCATGGCGGCGCGGGAAGCCATGGCGATCCCAAAACGGCTCACTATCTTCACCCTCTCTCTTCTCTTCTGCGGCATCCACAACTTGCGATCGGCGCTCCTTCGCTGTCGCTTGCATCTCTTGCAGTTCACTCACCCGAGCTTCCATTGGGCGATCTTTCGAAGATTTGCTCGGCTCACCAGCCTAAAGCCCACCAGGCAAACCTGGTTCATCTGCTCGACGCGTGGTCTGCGGCATGGGCACCAGTTGCACCACGCACTCTTGTACAAGTCACCAGCATTTGGTTCTTGCCGTCCGGCAATACCCTCGCTGGCTCACACAGGAGCTGAAAGGAAAGCGAGACACGAGCCAATCCCGCGCTCACCAGAATGGGAAAGATGGGACAGCATGGAATGCCCATCGACCAGGTGGAGGTCATTCCTGGTGACGGTGCCATCCGAGGAAGTACCAGAAGAGCTTTGCGAAGTTGAGCAAGCCATCAGAAACCTACATGGGCTGTCAGAACTTGAAGACGAAGGATTGCGTGCCTCTCTTGTTGTCAGCGACCACGGACCTGGGAGTCTTAAGGGGTTGAACTTGCTGTGTATGACCTCTCCTGGGAGCAGAGAGGTGTGTGAGGATGAGCTAGAGACGAGCCTCCACCCAACCTGGATACGCCGATGGAAGGCACCAAGAAGAAGAATCCGGTGTTTTGGGTTGTGGTGGAGCTGGCGACCTGGATGTCAGAGCATGGGACCATTTGGATCCACGATCCAGTGTTGAAGAGGCAAGAGCAGCAAGACCCAGTGCTTGAAGTTGAAAGTCAACCTGAACAGGGTGCGGTTCTAGCAACAGACTTAAGGAACCTTCCGCCACAGAGCGCGGGGGCGCAAAGTCCTAGTGGCTGTTGAAGTGCGCCAACTCTAGATCATGGCCAGCAGTGTGGCTTTCTGATAAAAGCCAGATCTGAAGTTGCACCACTCCACAGCCCACGGCGCCCACTCCGAGCCTCCGTAAGCCACTGTCCATGTGCGGTGGAGCAGTTCGATATCTTCTCCACCCGCCCGCAACGCCAGCGTGTTGAGCCTCGGCCTATCCGACGAGCCCGCAATTGGCCATCGCGTGCGACAACTGCATCGACCGATTCACACATTTCGCACTGCAGTCATGTTATGCAACGTGCAATGGCATCTTGAGTTTTTCTCCCGCCCGCCCGCGCTTTGACATTGGCTTGGGGCCCTGGCTGGCCGTGGACATGTTTCCAGGACGATTTTGTCCGGCCACTCGATGGCTACACGGCCTGCAGCACCGGCCACTTCCTCTGACACTGCGCTGGCCTCACAACGCGTGCACCTGACCTTCCGTGTTCGCCTGGTGATCTGTCCGAGCACCTTCATGACAAGTTGCATGCAGCATCACAGTGCAATTCGAGTCGATTCCTGGCGACGCCCCTGCTCGTTGCGTGCTGTATGTTGCTGTGGTGTGCAGCTCCCGAGTCTTGCCCACTTTGCGTGACAGGGTCCATCTCACCATTGGGGTTTTGACCACGCGAGAAAAAGAAGGGTTCACTGCGTCTGGTGTGGATTGCGGTATAATACAATATTCTGACGAACTAATCGGAGAACGTATATTCTGTATGTTATGGTTTTACCTTTTAAGGTTTATCTTGGCTCAAGACACTTAAAATGGAGAAAAACAGCCCTCCTCCTGCAGTAGCCCACAGCGGGTGGCTGCCCGCAGATCCGCAAAGGGCTTCTGGTAGCGTGGGAGTGATTGTGTTTTGGCCCATTTGGTCACGTTGCTTGGCTGTACCAAGCAGACCTTTTGCTGCGCGTCGTGAGCTGGTGGGGGACGCCGCTTGCAAAATGCGGGCCGACGTGATCAGGCCTAGCCTTCCCGGCGCATGGAGGCCATGAGGGCGATGACAACGACTCAATCCTTGATGCGGTTGCCTCGGGTGCCGATCATCCTGATCTTTTTCGCGGGCGTGTTCCTAGTGTGCTATGGGAACATACGAGTGTCGACTCTCTTTCGCTGTATGGATCCCATGCTTGTTCCAATCGTGCTATAGGACTATAGGATGGTGTATCCTCAGGTCATGGCAATGCTTGCACGTTCTCCTTCTCTGATCCTACCCTAGTGGGTGGCCCATTTCGGTCGGTTTCCTTGTTGAACCTCACCGATTGCTTCATGCGATTTTCGGTCGGATTTGAGATTCACTGCCACTACCGCGGGTATTCGCTCGGAGAGTGCGGTGTGTGACATGGTGCATCAGAACTCATGCCCAAAGGGAAGACAACACGTCAACATTTGCACCGTGAGTGCAGCTACGGCCATGGACAGATTTCTGCATTTTTCCTTAATCACTAAACGACGAAACCTGTCCCTTAACCCTTTGCTAAACTTTAGCTCAACGTTGCAGTGTGAGAATGCAACTTTATGCAGGAAGCTTCAGCAATTGCAGTACTGACATTAGCCAAACAGTTGCCTAGAAAAGGTGCTAGCTGCTTAACATGTTTTTTTTTGAGACATAGCTACAGTGTTAGCTACGTTGCATAGACTTCATAAGCATGTTGCATGTACGCGCGAATGTTTTGGTTTTTGTAGTCGAGTTGCTATATCAAAAGCCCCGGATGCTCCCAGTACTTGTTTGGGGAAAAGCAGATGGCAGGTGGATGTTTGGTGCACGCGTCGACGTTCCGAAAGCTATTGATGGGGTAGGTTGGGGTTCTTAAATCATGTTTGGAGGTCGTGTGGTTGGAGGGAACGTCCGTTTTATGACACTGCCACCGACGTCGCCGATCGTCCAGATGCACGCTCGTTGTCCGCCATTTCCGAAAGTGTTCACGTGGCTTCTAAGCTAAGTATCGTGGTGTTATTGTGTGTGTGCACGAAGGTTTGGGTCATTGCGTGTGGTGTTGGATGTATCGGTGCAGATGTCCGACAGGTTCTGACGCAAATATTGCGCGTGTTTGCTGATTTGAGTTTTTGGCGTGCCATTGGGGCGTTTGGAGCTTTCAAACATCAGTTGCACTGTGGCAAGCTCGAATTCGACCATGGAGCAAGTCACGAAAGGTGAGTCTGCTTCAGCGGAGGCCTTTCTGATGTCATGTTACGTCATGGCCGAAAAAGGTGATTGCAGAGCCGACCCGGACCAGACTTTTTTTTCGGGTTTGTGGCACGCCCCGGCTTCAGTTTCATTTTGGGGGTTTTCGGCAGTTTTTTTGGGTTAGGTTTGTTGATGCACGTTTTAGGGGACATATGTTGATACCAATGCGATCCGCCGTTTTCTCCGTTTGCATGTGTTTCATCGGGCACAGCTTAGCCAAGCGCGCCTGTCCGACGAGGTGCCAGCAGGGATCGTGTGAACCAATGTGAAGCATATCCTCAAGCCTGAACCCAGCAAAGCTCGTCTTCAACTCGTCTTCATCTCGTTTTAAACTCTTCAGAGGCTTGTGAGGGATCCCTGAAGGCTGCCATGCAACGGGTGCGAGGGACGCCGAGCCAGGCTGCAAGATAAGGATTTGTTAGCGTTCAAGTTCATGTCTCAAGGTGTAGCGGGTTATTGCTTGAAAGGGTATTCGGTAGCTTTGGACTTTTCAGGGTTTAGGGTTTCAAGCTTTGTGGAGTGTAGGATTTTGGTAGGTGGCCATGTGCATTCGATGTCCGTTCATTGAAGGCTCTGCCTGGGCAGAAAACTCCATACCAGACGGATGACTTGGGCCTCTCGATGTACACGCGCCACAGTTGGCATTTACTTCTACAACCCTGCCCCGTGTCCAAGTTCAAGTTCCTGAGCCTTTTGCCTTGAACCAGAGTTCAATCCCAAATCTGAGATGGTTTATCTTTATCGCTGAAAGCATCTTGGAAGCAACTTGTTTAGACCCGTAAGGTACCCGCCAAGCGCTTGGACCTCAGCATGTGGATCCAACTCAGTTGCGAGAAGACCGGCTCACGACTTTTCTTCGGCCCCATCTTGCGTCCGACTGGAATATTTGGTTCTTGGGGCGTCGTAAGGTGCTTAAAATCACCTTCTCGACGCAGGGCAATGAGTAATCAGTAATCCTTGATGTAGGGTGTGCAAGGCCTCGTTTCCTGACGCACGGGAAATCTATTCGTCTTGGACTGCCAGGTTTCGGAAACAAGACCTCAAGAGTTGTCATAAGCACTTAGAGAACATGTGTTGTTGTCGCTTCTGAGGAAGAGGTGAGTGTTCGCGAGTTCGAGGAGCGAGTGCTTGCAGCTTTTGAGCTCGCCACTTTTATCTCCTACCCTTATGAAGCAGTTGCCAGGATTTCACTGTGAACCGTCTCAAACTGCTACACACCATCGACAACATTTGTGGCCGTGGGAAAGCAGGCGCCTTGCGAGACGTCCGAAATGTCTGAAACATCCTGCATGGCAACGGACTTTGAAGGCGGCGACTTTCGGCTGGAGAATATGGGAACCTTGAGGCATTGGCCTTTGGTGTTGAAGGGTTTTGGTTCTTCAAATTTTCGGATTCCATCCACCCTTCCTTCTGGTTGATGCCATGGGTCTGGTCTGAGAGGTTCTTGAAGTAACCTCAGTAGCCTCGAGCCCTGACTCCTTGAACTGAAGCTTTGAAACCTGGACCTCTCCCCAATGCCCGTTTGAGCTGCACGTGTGTGCTAGCTCCAGCTTTGGTTGCAGGCCGCAGCTGGCACGGGACCTGCGTGACACTGGTCTGGGCTTAGGCCCCGAAGTGGGTTTAGGGATGGTTTAGGGTTTTGCGGCTTCGGGCTTACAAGGGCTTAAGCTTTATCGATGTTTGCTTTCAGCCTTTTGGGGGGGTGTAATGCAGTTGTTGAAAGGGTCGGGGCTGGAGGGGTTAAAGGGAGGAAGGGTCTCGGAGGTCACGGGTCATCGGTCCTATCATGCGTTACCTGAACCCTCAACCCAAGAGCCCTGACACCAGAACCATCGACCTGACCAGGCCTGAACACAGTCAACACCCCAAGCCCTGAGTGATTCAGACGTTGCGGCTTCGACTTGCAAGGCTACCCCACAGCGGAGCGTGCTAAAGGATTCTTGCTCGAGAAGGCCCAGTTTCAAAGTGCAGCGCTCAATGGACTTAGGATATCTTAGGATGACCTCCACACATGTGTGCGGGCAGACGTGCGATGTTTTTGGCATAATCTCACAGAGACTGCCAAGATTTCAGGTCGGGACAGCATTTCTCACTTCGCTTTGCGTCTGGCATTCTGCAAGGCGAACGAGGCTCGAGAGGGCTTTGCAGCCTGCGATGTGACATACCGTGTGACGTGCCTGTACCGAGGCTCGAGAATGGCTGCTGAAACAGGAGCAGCGGTTGTTCGTCTTACGTTTCGAGGCAACAAAGTGAGCAAAAGTTGCTGTTGCTGGTCCTTTGCTTTGCCTTTGCTTTACGTGATGTGGCGTGTGGCCAGGGCCTGCACATGGATGCAAAAGAGGCAAAGCACAGGGCATTAGCTCCAAGTCTGCGCAGCACTAGGCACTGTACAATCTGCAGCGTCTACAGTATTCAGGAAGACGGGCTCCACTCTTTGCTAAGGGCTCGAACCTGGGAGCTTCCTGGCAGGCTTTTGTCGAGTCCGTGGGGATCAGGGCCCAGAGGCAGGGACCCGAAGGTTTGGGTTTTGGGGTTTCCAGCCCTAAAGCAGCGACGATTTGCAGCACCTGCGAGGTTCGAAGAACGATCTGATGGACCTTCCTTGCAGATGCTGCAGAAGTGCACCGCTGGTGTGGCTTGGATGAACGCCGTGATTGATTGATGGTAACTCTGACTGTTAACTGGTCCTACCCAGACTACTTGTATCTGTGTTTGGTGTGACGGAGTGTTTGTGTCTTTCAGACTACCTGAGTTTTGGGTTTGGAATGGTTTGGAGAGTCCCTCACCCCAAAACACATTGGTTGAGGCAAAGACTTGGAGAGATGGGTGGGGGGCTCAGATGTACTCAGATGGGCTCATTTTTTCTTTGGGTGCTACGTCCAGAGGCGTCCCGAGTTCGAGCAGACCTTCTACGAGATGCCTTTCACGGAGGTGAGACCGGGACAAAGGATTTTGGGGGCAAAAGAAGCCTGAGGGAGGACTTTCTCTTTGGGTTTTCATTGACCATTTTTTCTATGCACCGCTGCAGGTTCCTCCGGCCTTCATTGCCGGGAGACGAGTGGTGCTCAAGAAGGGCAAGGCCACCGGGGTAAAACAAAAAAAAGAACAAGAACTCTCTGAACAAGCGCACATTTCACGAAGCTACCGGAGCTAGACTTGAGTTTAGTCTTGCTGTAGCATGTAGGGTTGGACACGGCCAAGCTGTGGGCTGTTCTATCATTGGATGAGTGGGGTCATGTTGAGTTGTGAGAGTGAAGTAGAGTTTCATTCATTGTTTCCTGCGAACCTGTCCTTTGGGGGGCAATGTACAACAGCAGCTGCAGCAACCATCCGCAACCCTCGGCCCTGCTGCGCAATGGCGCCCGAGCCAATTGGGCTAGATTTTGTTGGCCTTGGCTTGCCTCTCAAATTCAAGGTTGGGGTTGTGAAGCTTTGCAGGCTTTTGTTCCGGCGACCTCGTTGAAGCTGATCGTAGCAAAAAAGTTCAAGGACCGGATGCGCGTTGCTTCACGCCCCGATAGCATATGATAGCATGGTGCTGGTGCCCTTCCAGCTCCGTGAAGGACCTCCTGTCGCTGAGCTTGGACGTGGCCTTCCAAGGCGAGGCACAAAACAGAACGCACTCGGGGACTCGGGGCCCGATGCCGCAAGTTCTTCCTGGGCCTGTGCTCCTCTGAGAGTGGCAGAGCATAAGAAAACGATAAAACGAGAGTGGCTGTGAGGCCTCCACCTGGCCTTGGCCGATCCGCGCGTGGGCCTCTTCCTGAGGCAGCTGCAGGCTAGTCGTGAGGGTGACTTTCGAGGGAGACGGGTGGGGAGACGGGTGGGGTCTTTCTCTCCTTTCTGGTCCCATCTTTCTGTCTCCATGGCCTCTGACAGGAGATGGGATTGCAGCTGGTGCTGCCTATGCGCTCCTCCTCGCAGCAGGCGCTTTTTCAGACATACAGAAGCGACCGCAAATGCTCGCCGCTTTGTTTGCAAGTACAGTTTACAAGCTGATCTCTTTTCAGGAATCCGGCGAGCAGCTAAGCCTTGGCAACTTCGAGGAGATGTTGTCCCGCCAGCGACCTCAGTGTTTTTTCTCAGTTTGAGTAGCTCGTTCTTGCCTTCCCCTTCCCTTTCCCCCTCCCTTTCATTCCCTTTCCCCTTCCGCGGTTGTTGCGCGAAGCTATCTAAGGCTCGATGCCCCCTTGCATGCGGCGGCTCGTGGAAAGACAGCTGCCTGGCAGCAGTCTGTGACACTAAACCCCTTCCAATACTCCCTTGAGAACATTCCGCTTTTGAGCTTTTGCACCCAAATCTGCAGTTGCAACTTTTTGTCAACAGTTGTCACTTTCCCAGAGAGCTGAGGCGGGAGGCTCGGAAGCACTTGAAGCACGCAGGAAGGCGGGGCGGGCTCAGGAAGCCTAAGGTTGTTTGGGCTAAGGTTCTGCCGCTACAACCCTATGAGAAGGCTCCCTCTCCTTGGGGCTCCCTGTATTCCCATTTGGCGCATCGGGATTCAGTGGACTTAGTCTTTGCATCTCTCTCCACGGCACAGCAGAGCATCAAATCAGCATACAGCCATTCAGGTTTTTCGCGTTACCACTGTCTTTATTGTTAATATTGTTGTTGTTATTGTTGTCATCATTGCTATTACGTTTTTTACTGCTATCACTGTTATGACGGTTATTATTGTTACTGCTAGGCTTGAGTTTACTTGCTTTAGCAAGGGAACCTGTAAACCCTTCCGCAGTTGCGTTCCACTGACAATATCGAGGAAAGTGAACCGGGGATGGGGGTCCTGAATCTATCAGGTCATTGGGAGAGGGGGGACGGTAATCTCCTTTAGAAAGGGGGGGTCCCAGTCATCCAACCTATCGCAAAAGTGGGGTGGGTGGCGATAGATACACGGTCGTTGCGTTATAGATCGCGGTCTTTGTGAGCGCGCGTTCTCTGAAGAGCGCTTTTCAGAGATCTCCGCGCACTTGGATCGCGATCTACGTCAGCACATGCGTGTGGGGTGTGGTGGAGTGTGGAGTGTGGTGCTCGTGGTGGTGGTTTGTTGGTGTGTGGTGGAGTGTGGATGGTGTGTGGTGGAGTGTGGAGAGCGGAGTGTGGTGTCATCGTTGCTATTTTTGTGATTATTGTTATTATTGTGATTATTGTTGCTATTGTTACAACTGTTGTTATTGTTACTATTGTGGTGCATGTGATTGTTGTTATTGCTGCTAGTATTGATATCTTGCTGGTACAGCGATTGCAGTCATTGTTGTTATTCTGTTTGTGGTAGTTTACGTTCTTGATGCTGTTTGTGTTATTTCTTGTATGGTCATGTCTGTTAGTGTTGTGATTGTTGTGATGATTGTGTTCTCTGCTTATCATCATCTATGCCTGTCACTATGTGAGGTAAAGCGTATACCACGGTTATCGGTGAGTGTATCGAGGGTTCCATATGCATATTGGTGAGTGCGCACATGAGGTGTTTGTTCTTTTGGGGATACGAATATCTGAAACGCTTGGATGGCACTATCTCCGCCATCCTTGCGAAGCTCGCCCACTGATTGACAATATCTCGTTCTGTATTTGATAATCTTTTCTTGCTTTCCATGCTTCGTACAATCTCACCCATATGGTCCACGACCTCGAGTGCGTGGCACGAATGTTGTAACCCTTTCTTCACACTTCTTACTGCAAGTAACTCGGTGTTGTCAGTTGCTTGATCCGCAGCTTGGACCCCCTCCTCCGCCCCCTTCCCCTCAGGCCCGCCCCTCCCCAGTATCCTTCCCTTTATGGCCCTGGCCTCCAGTATCCTGCCACATCACATGTGTGAGTTTCTGTTGCAGCGCCGTAGACACTACAACCTCAACCCTAAATCCGAAACATGAAACATTCACGCCGGCATTCCCCATTCCATCATGCAAGCCAACATGTGCAACATCCGTGAATTTCTGTCGCACCACACTCTAAGCGTCTCTATACACAAAAGCAGCGTTCTGCTCGGCTTGCGCTGCCATCTCACAAAAGCAACGGTGGAGCTCTCGTGGCCACTCCTTTCAGGCTGGGATGAGCAAACGCGCCATAAAGCTTGAACGCAAAACGCAAACTTTGCATGGTTCTTGCCTTTTGTGTTTTTCTTGCCCTATTTGTTGAACCTCATGTTACATTGACAGGGATATATAGATGTTGGGCTTATGCTGGCTGTTGGGGGCGAAAGCCGACGTGAGGCTGCAGCTGCGGCCCTTCCTGAAGGCTCCCGGGCTGCAAGTTGTGCGACCTTCTTGTGCGTTTCTCGTGTTTCTCTCGGGGGGGCACTCAAAAGGGTGTATGCCAAGGCCCCAGGTATTGAAGAATTGAGCATGTACGACATTCTATGACAGCATTCGTCACAGGACTGCTGGTGAGCAGAAGCATGAATAAGGAGGATTCTTTCACAGAAGCGCCAGATGCAGCATCTTATCGCCTGACAAACCCAGATTGGAAACTCCTCGCAGATCCTCTTGCGTGCAGGCGTGCGGCTTTTCCTTCGAGGACTCTGTCAGTTGGTGGAAGCAGGAGTGCTTCACTGTTGGGGCAGCGGGTGTAGCGGGTGTTTCGGGGTGTTTCGGGAAGTTTCCAGAAAGCTGGAAGGCCTGTTAGTGCAAGGAGCTGTGCCGCGATCCGACCATCGATGCTCAGAAGTTCGACAAGTGCCTTTGGCCATTTTGGTGCTTTCGGTGCACGCTCTCTGGAATTTGAGATCCATGGGACAGGAACTACATGTATGACATCGAGCATGCCTACGGGAAGAAGGGACACAATCAAGGCCTACTGAGCCTACTGAAGTGCTTTTGAGGATGGCTCAGCTTTCGCGGAGAGGTCAGAACTGCTGCGGCTGCCCAAAGCTCATCGGCTTGCCTGGCGAGACTGTTGGCCAGGACGCGCCATCATGGATCGACTTCAACTTCCGATTCTTTTCGAGGGCTTCGGGGCTTCGGAACTTCACAGGTTCACGGATGTCCCTTCAAGCAGATGGACGTGGAGTCCCTGCGTCAACAGCTGCAAAGGCGCCTTCATGGGGCTCCCTTTTTTTGTGACCTTCAAAATTTGCCTTGATCCAGGTGGCAGGTGCCTTCTGCCTGGCGCCCGATGTGTTGGCTTCTCTTTAGCGTTTTCTGGGTTTTGTAGCGACTGTGTGGGTAAAGCGCACGCCTGGCAAATAAGCAAATATATCCAGCATGAAATGGCTGCAGAAAGCTGCTGACTTAAACCGACGGACTTAAACCGACGAGGCATACCCAAAGTCAGGGCTTTGCCTGCCATTGCATCCTCGAACGAACCCTAGCTGGAGCATCCAGTCAAACCTGAGGGGGATGGGGTGAAGTCGGGGCGAGGCCTCAACAGCCACAGGGCACACGCCGGCATGTTTGCGAGTGGAACAAACACATACAAACACCTTCACTCCCATCAGCCTGAGCGAGCTTGATTAGAGTCAGGCATCTAGCGGCGGGGCTGACAAGGTGAAGGTGCTAGGACAGTTAGGATTCCCAATCAGAGAGAATGTCAAACTGGTCACTGCGGGAAAGAATCCGGGCGGGCCCGACATGCAGCCTTGGCGGAATCACATATCAAGTCAGCTCAAGTCAATCCTCAGAGCATCGGCAGGGGACGACGATGAGGAGGCAGAGTCCCACCAGAACCAAAGCTGCAGGTGTGGCAAGGCAAGGGACAAGGGCAAGCACAAGCGCAAGCGCACGGGGCAAGGCAACCGAGTGCAGCATGAAGCAGGAAGTTACTTCCTGTCAGGGAAGATCCTGAGTGCCTGCATTTTTGATGCGTGGGACGCTATTTGTTTAAGAAGGTATCCAACGCCCTGAAGGGGAAGCTTTCGACGGGAGGGGGAATTCCTTTCTTGTCACTGGAATGCAAACCGCTGCTTTCATGGACGGAATCTGTGCAGAGTGGAAGTTGCCAGTTCGAGGTATGTCACCAGCCAGGCACAGAATGTTTCCCGATTAGGAAGGCATCCCTTGAACAGTGGCAGTTTGAGTGAACTTTCCACACTTACTCGTATCGTCCTGGAGGAAAGGAACTGCGAGAGGGTAGTGTCTGCTGATTGTTTTCAAACGTCAGTTCCCCTAGCTTGTACATATACAGTAAATTTTACAGTTTTCAATTTCACACAGCATGAAGCAGGGAAGCACCGTAGTACGGCCGTGCGTCATTCCTGGATGATTAAGCTTGTGCCTGGTGTAAGGGCCAAGTTCAGCCACTGTGTACATGATAATCTACTCACTAGTCCGGTGCTCAACCGTCTAACAGTCTAGACTACCCTAATGTGCCTAGAAACAATCACAGACACTCTCCTGCCTCGTTTGACGGTACCGTTGCGATTGCAATTGCACATGCGCAGTTTGTCGGTTTACTGAGGCTTTCCTAGTGGAGATCGAAAGACTGATCAGGGAAGGCCGTGATGCGTTCAATGTTGTTACAGTTTGGACACAGTATTGTATCATTGCTTCGGATGAGCCCGGCCCAGAAATTCGTCCAGAAGATGGCAAGTGAAACAATCTGCTGAAGTTGCGTGAGGCAAGCACTATCAGCTGGCATGCGTAGAGTACTTCAAGCATTGGACTCAGCAATGTGCCAAAGCTGCGGATGGGTCCATGGGTGTCCGGCCCAGGTCTCAGCATCCTAAACATGAGGGAGATGGCGCCCAGGACCCAGCAGTGGGCAAGAACAGCTGAACTTTGCCATTTCATGCGGAGCCAAGGTTGGCAACAACCCCCTGGATTTCTTCAAGGAGAGTTGCCGGAACCTTGGTTAGCCTGTGTAACCACTGCGTGATCCTGATCAAGCATTGCGTCGCCATCCAGATCCTTTTGCAACGTGTCACTTGATGTAGGTCTTTTGCCTTGCTGCTGTAGGTGTTTATCACAAGAAGAAGGCCTGGGCGCGAACTTGTGCTGGAGTGAAGTGTGCGCATGTTGCCCACATCCAAAACTTTCAAATTACTAAAGGCCGAATGCGCTTAGACTTAAACCAGCCTCAATCTGACTCAATCCTAAACCCTTGAAGCTTTAGAATTTGAAAGCAGGTTGAAATGAAGAGAGCAGAGTGCTGAACGGAGGCCCAAGCGGGATCTGCCCCCGCGGGGCCCGCACCCGTGGCACCCGTGGCACCCGCGGAGCCCATCTGCGTCGGGACCTTTACACATGGCCGGTTTGTTACCAGACTATGGCTGTTGAAAGCAGTCTGATATGCAAGCAAAAAGTGCTAGAGAGTAGGTTACCGTAGGTTCTACAGTTTCTGCAAGGGGTCAGTGGTTTTGAGAGATGCTGGCTGGTTGGGTTTTTGTGCGGTAGGATGTTGTAGGGATCAGAGACCCATGGAAAGTTTCTTGGTGGAAGAGCTGAAGGACTCTTGACCGATAATGTTGATGGTAGAGTGAGATTCAGCAGAGACAAGTAGGAAGTACCGAAGCCCCAAGCCTCGAAACTGTTGCCAAAGGCATTATAGCCTGAGACGGGGAGCCAAAAGAGTGTGTCAGTTCTCGTGCATGTCATTCTTTTGTTGGCACCTCTTTGTGCAGGGGCCGTGCGAAGCATGAACGAGTAGTGACGGATCATGTTCTGCTGGCTTTGGAGTACACGTCCCATAAGCGCCTGCATGAAAGCGATCAACCTGCAAAGCTCTCTGAGGATGCTCCGAAGCAGTGAATGCCCCCTTTGAGAGCTCCCGAAGATCGTGTGACAAAGCATGGAAGCGTACAGGATCCCTAAGTGGCATGTGAGCCTGTGTGGCCCTAACAGTCCAAACGTTTAGTCAACAAAAGAAGCCTGGGATTGACGGCAGTGCCGGTGGGGGTGAACCGGCTGGCATGCAATGCTGCAGCAGGGAACCCTGGGGCCCTGCTTAATTATTGCAGTGCCAGATTCCACCCTTCAGTTTTTTTCGCGCAGCACTGCGAGCCGCGAGCGATACATGATGATCAAGTCGAGATCCGTGTAGAGCGATCCTTGACTTTGACACTGTCACTGACGATGTCATCACAGTGTTTACAAGTGTTCATAAGTGCTCACAGTGCTTCGGAGGGGAAGGGGTGGAGCCTGCCGAGTGTGATGGCTTCTGACCGTCGAAAGCTGTGACGTGACAAGGACAAAAGGAAGCCCCATGAAGCCCCATGAAGCCCCATGAGGCCCCACTCTCTGCCGTTTCGCAACTCCTGAGACGTTGGCTTGCCCTGCAGACGAAAGCTGAACTTCCGCTGTCTGCGCAGCTGTGCTCTCAGGGTGCGGCCAGCACGTGGGCTTTCGGCAAGTCTGCTGGCGAGTCGAAGAGGCATGTGCTTTGTCCCCAGCATATGTCGCTTCGGCTGCCTCGTGCTGGCAGCTTTGTCGCCTGGCTAGAACCCTGTGCAACTACACTCACTAGACCCAAAGTTGGCAATCCGCTACACGCAAGGCTGACGCGGGCCTGGGCATCCAGCTTGGACAGCTGGACTACGCTCCCGGGAGCTCCGAGCTTTCGCTATGCCGTGTACGGCTGCTTGCCAAACGGGGAAGCTCCCGCTAACGCTTCTTAAACCTAAACCTTCAACTGCCCGACCATTGCTGACACGGTGTGTTTTTGAAAGGGCACTCCTTGGCTGTCAGTTCAGGCTTTGAGTAAGACCTTCACAAGTGAGGGTGATGCTTGCAGGCCAAAGCGCTAAATGCAATGACAGAGAGGAACAACAGACTGTACTATATTGATGGCTATCCTGGTGGCAACTTGTACCAAAAGTGTGACCTTGAAGCTCTCATCCATCCTTAGTTTTCTACGCACTGCGGCTTGATGCCAAGACATCGCATCCCAATAGCCCTAAGCCAGAGACCCTGCTGCCTACAGAGGCAGTGGAGCCCGTGCGCCCCATTGCACCCAGGCATGGCGACGCAGCCGACCGGCCCAAGCTTCCTTCTCACGAGCCGAGGCGAATCTTAAGAGAACATCTTAGAGGGTTTTTTCAAGGGTCCGCCTCTCAACCTGCCATGGCACCCGTCCTAAACCCGGTTGTGCGAGTGACTTTGAGTGGTCAAGCCCTGTCGCCCTAGGCCTCTTCCGCGTGGACGTGGATGGGTCAGAAGCCACCATGGTGAAGGCCAAGCTTCAGCTGCCCCAGCTCTCCTCATATCTGCTAGAGAGTTGTTACAAGCTGCAAAATTGCTACAAACTACAAAAAATGGCCACAACGGTTCTAACGTGTTCGCGACTTTGCTGAATTTCAGGAAGCTGGCATCTTCCGGCCATCTCCGGCCATGAACCCTTCCCCCCCCCACATTGCTGCTGGACCAGTGCTGGAGGTCTGGAATGCGACCACGAACTTCGGCAGTGGCCACATGGCTGCACAGGGCAGAAGCGACCCTCACCTCCACACCCCAAGACCAAGAAGCTCCGGAATTACAGCGAAGATTTGTGAAGCTTCTTTCGGCCGGATGATTTGGGCCCGGTTTTTGTGGACTTGGGGTCCCACTTAGGGGTTCACAGTTGTCCGAGTTGTGCCAGTTGGGGTGTTGGGGTTCTAGTTGGGGTTTCAGGCGGCGAGCTGTCGATTGGTGAGACGGGCCTGATGCTCGTCACAAAGTTCGGCCTCCGGCGGCTGCTTCCCTGCAGAGCGGAGGAGTGGAGAGGCTTGTGGGGAGGCTTGTGGGGAGACTTGTTGGGGCGCGAGTCGGGCACTCAAAGGTTATCTTGTAATTTCTGCTTCAAACATGTGTTGCTGAACTCCTCAACTCCAAGCCTTTACGCGGTAGTTTTCTGCTTGGATCTCCTTTCACCTCAGGGTGCCCCGAGGTATGCCTGGTACCGGCGAAACAGCACAAGCGACTGGGAGTCGCTCACGGGCCAATGGAACAAGAACGAGGAGAGAGAGTTGTGACAACTTAGGGAGATCCACAGAGGATTGACGAAGGTTGACGAATGTCGGGTGTTTAGGCACCGTTCAGGCACGTTTGAGGATATGTAAGATTGTCACGATCGGAAGGAGTTTCCGGCTGCGGATGAGATGGGCGCGTACCCGGAAACCTTCAGCGACAACCGCTACCAAGGCCTAGAAAAGTCTTGGCCGAGCTTAATGCCCCGATAGCCTGATGCCCCCGGAACTCCTAAATTGTCCCCCTCCCGATGGCTTTTTGAGATTTGTTGAGGCTACGCGCATCCCTGGCGTGCTGGTCCTGACGGTCGGATCTATGTGATGCTGAAGCGGCACCTTGGCCAGAGGCAGTCTTGGGGATGTTCTGATTGAGGGGTGTTGAGGTTCGGGAGCAGCTAATGCGTAGTGCAGCGGAGGTGAACTGAACTTGGTCTCTAAGGAAGGCAGAGTGGCCAGCTGCAGATCAGATTCCTCTGTCCGGAACGAGAGACAGGCACATGGGGCTTTACAACGCTTGCTCCATGCAGGGTTCTCAGCTGCAGTTGCCCCAGTGCCCCCTCCTCCCCCCTCGTTGTTCCGGTCAGCATCCAAGTCTTGTGTGTTCATGCTGAATCGTCTGTGTCACGCCGAATCTGCATGTGGAGCGTGTCGTGCAAGAGGTACGCGATTTGGAGTTATGACTTGGATGACGGGCAGTGGAGGACTCTAGATGCGCAGAGTGGAAAGAGCCGCCAACATGAAAAGAACCCTAAAGCCCCGAAGCCACGAGGAGTGTCGGTATTGTCGGAGTGCACGAGGAGAGCCACTCCGGATTTGCCAGATTTCCAAGGAAAGGCGCTGAAGACCTACACCAGAGGTTCCTCGGTGGTAACTGCGGGTTCAGACCTTAAACCATTGCCTGAGCCCTGCAGTTTAGCGGGGGGTTTGGGAACTTTTGGGAATGTCTTGGAGTTGGGGAGGTGGGTCCTATCCCAGAGGCCGCCTTTGCAAGTCCCCTGTCCTCCCCCAGACATCCGCACCTATCTCTGAGCGTCTCTGAGCGTCTCTGAGAGTCTCTGAGCGTCTCTGAGCGCCTCTGAGCCTTGCAATGCCACTGAGACACTGCACCAGCCCTTCTTTCTTCGGATTCCCCGGTGATCTTCTTGAAGCCTTAAGCAACAACAATGACTGTTTGGCCAGGCTGCCCATTCTGCCAGGGCGTCTCAGGCTTCAATGGCACCAGGGCATCCTGGAGCGGGAAGCAGCAGGCCCCTTGAACTGCTTGAACCTTCCCTTGAATCCCCCCCTTCTCAGTTTGGGCAGAGCAGTTGGTCGTCGGGCTGGGCTGCTTGCGCTGGCGTGCTTTAAGAACATGTCTTGAGGCCGGCTTATGCCTAATCAACTGGGGCTTTAGTTCTTGCTTCAGGAACATTCCTGGTTTGATCACAGCATGGAACCGAACATGTTCCAGGGCCACGGCCACTGCTGCTCCGGTCAGGCCGAAGCTTTGAGTATTAAACCCTGACCTCTAACATTTGGCCTGCAGGTGAAGTACGGGAATGGCAAGCTCTGTGGGGCGCCACCGCCACATTTTTCATGGGTACTTGATTTCTGTGGTTGCCGTGAACGTGAACCTTTTTTAACTTGGCCCCTTCAAGCCCTTAACTGGGCTTTAAGAGCTGTACAGACAACCCCAAAAGACAATAATGGGGCCTTAACATGTCTTAACTCCGCCTTAGACACTAACGTAAAAGAGTTGTGCCGGTCTATACCCCAGTCCTGACACCCTCAACCTCCCAAGTCTCCAAGCCCTGCCCTCGCGGCGCTTAAGCCCAAGTCGCAAAGACGAAACAAGCCAAATCCCCACCCTGCGCAAAGCGCGCCCCCGAATTCCTTCCTTCCCCCCTCCCCTTCCCCCCTCCCCTTCCCCCCTCCCCTTCCCCCCTTCCCCCCCTCCCCTTCCCCCCCCCGTCCCGCCTTCTTGGAAGGCGGACCAGGACCCGGAGGTGAAGCCGCAGTGTGCCCTCGCGCAGCAAAGTCAGAGGGGTTAAGTGTGAGAAGGGTCGTCCGCCATGGTCGGGTTTGAAAGTGTTGGGTTTCAGCAGGGCTGCCAGTTCAAGGTTTCGTGTCCCAAGACCGGCAAACTTGAATGTCACCCAGCATAGCCCTTGCAGAGAGAGAGAGAGAGAGGAGGAGAAGAAGAGAATAACAGGAAGAATAAGGGGAATCATAAGAAGATAATAAGAATTATCAGAAGAAGAACAATAAAAGAAGAATAATAAAAAGATGAATAAGAAGACAGAGCGAGCGAGAGAGCGAGAGCTGAGAGAGAGAAAGAGAGAGCAAGCAAGCAGGAGAATAACAGGCGAGACATGAAATACACAGGCCATCACAGGCCCAACTAGGCCTCTGATGCCCTCTGAACAGCAAGCGCAGCAAGCGCCTCTAACACCAAAGCTGCGAGGTTGGAAGCCGCAGGGCTTCAGCCTTCCGACCTGGGGAGGACGCTGAGCGGGAGAATGTAAGGCTCAGAGTGATCGGATCTTCGAGAACCCTTGTGCACCTAGACTCTGAACCCTAAACCTTGCTGTGACCTTGCTGTGACCTCAAGCACCTGAACTCAAACTGAACTGAGGCAACCACACCCGTGGCCTCTACCTGCGTGCCTGCCACGGGGAGGCAAGAGCCATCAAGAGCTAGCAAGAGCCAAGGGCTCTTTGATTCTTCGGTCTCAGGCGGCTCGCAGGCGGCTCGCAGGCGGCTCGCAGGCGGCTCGCAGGCGGCTCGCAGGCGGCTCGCAGGCAACTAGGCGGCTCTCAGGCGGCTCTCAGGCGGCTCTCCGGACTTTCGGGCTTTGATTTGAGGAGCTGATGGGGATCCTTAACAGATTGAGCCTTTGGAGGTTCGCGTGGAGCGATTTGTGCTCGCTACCGCAGACAACTTGCATCTCGGTATATCTCGGTCTAGGTTCAGGTTCTAGAGAGTTCAGGCTTTAGGGTCTGGGTGCCGGGTAGGGCTTGGGGACTGATTGTGCTGGGCTCGGCTGGTCGCAATCAGGACCGAGGATGTTCTGGATTCGCTGCCGCTGAGCGATTTCGTGGATGGGACCTGGCAAGAAGTGGCAGGTGAGCCTTTGGTGACTTGCTTGCGGCCAGCCTTCGTGTTGCATGTCGGAGTGTCAGAGTGCATAAGCCAGTGCCAGTGTAAGTGCCTTGTATTTCTGCTGCTCCTCAGGTAATTGATGCATCACAGGCAACGCAGCTGTTCCCTGCCGGTGGCAGGAGTGAAGCCCGGTGAGAATTGCAGGTCGCATCGCGCATGCCTTCGAAGCTTCCTCTGGGACTTGGGCATCCTTCAGCTTCAGAGGCCTCAGGATTCAAAGAACCCCATGTCTGGCCATATTCTAGAATCCTCACAATGCTTCGAAAATCTCGAGCCACGGAGCCCAAAAGCCCAAAGCCCAGGAAAGTACGGTTCGCGCCACACACAGCGCCGTAATCTTCAACGGAACCTTCGAAGTGAGGCCGGCACTGCACCTGGATGTTTGGGATGTTTGTGCTGTTCGGGGTGTGGGCACAGAGTCGAAGAATCCCACATAGACATTTCCATAGCACGTCAGGACCCAGCTCCAGAGCATAGTTCCAAGGTGACAAGGTGAGAAGATGTCTGCACGTGTGACGAAGAAGCGTAGAGGCGAAGACTGAGGGGTTTCGGGTTGTGGGTTGAAAGGGAAGGTGCCCACGGGCAGTTCAAGCTGAAGCTCCCCAGAATGTTAGTGCCAGTGTTTGTGTGTGCAACTGTCAGGGGAACTCAGCAGAATTCTGCCACAGAAGCAGCCCACGCGGAGTACAAAGTTCGCTTCCAGCCTATTGAGAAGCTGAATGCCGCTTGCTGCAGAGGTTGAAACAAGCTGTGTGACACTGTGTATCCTATCTTAGCATGTAGAAGAAGCCGGAATTTTAAAAAAAGTACCACAGGGATGTGTGAAGCTCAGGAGAGGCGCTATGTTTACTTGAAGGCGCAGTCCATCGGCACGCCTCGACCACACGTTTGGCGCCATTGTGTGGATGTGCTGACAACAGGCGGCGTCATAGCAGTGCATGAGAACATGTGGAAGTGAAGCGGTCTCAGCTTAAGACAGACAATAATGGACGACGTACGAAATCCCCCCCAGGCGCTGAAGCCTGAGATTTTCTTAAGTGTAGCACATGTCAGGATACTTCAACCAGTGGCATCCGCGCTTCGAGTTCACTCGCCGCCCTGACGGCAGCATCTCAGCCAACGTTAGCCACCCTGAAGAAGCCCTCCAGTGGCGGCTGAGGCTGTTAGGGCTTGAAACGCCAAAGCCCCAGCCCAAAAATCAAATCAGCCTAAACTTCAAACTGCACTAAGCTCTGAGGCCTTGCCTTCTATGCCGGAAACACTGGCGTGGATAGCGTGTCACGCTGTGACGAGTCTTGGCAAGAGAGGACACCCTGCATGCATCCGGCGGAGGATGCTGACTCATCCGTGGTCACCTGCTTGCCTGCGTTTTGGAGCCGTGACTGTGCGGCTGTGCGGTTGTGCGTTTGAAGCATAGGATTCGCCAGAAGCGCAGCCTGACAACGGCATCGTGCTCCTGGAGGCCGCGTGCTTGCTTGCGTGAGTTGCACCGAACTCTAAACACCAAACCCTAAGCCCCAAGGTCTCAAGCCCTTGTCCGCCTTATCCCTCAACTGGTAAACCTCCAACGAAAGCAGCACAGTGCCCCGAATCCTTTGTAGGTGGCTTCCCCCAAGCAGGACGGTGCCTGGCGCCGCCTTTCGGGTCCGGACACCAAATACCGCAAGGAGGACTTCGGGGGGAGGCTTTATGGCTTTCAGGGTTTCAGTGAGGAATCTCAATCCTTTGCCTAAGAGGGCATTCGACCATTCTCCATGTGCATCCATGTGCCAGCCCTTGCCCCAATCTTGGTTTAATCATAGTGTAGTGGGGTGTTGGCCACCGGACCAACGGCCCGGGCACATTTGATTAAGAGAATTTGGGGCGAAACACCTGGTTTGCGGGGTAGCTTTTTGAGGCTTCTTGGGCTTCATGGCCAGCATTGCCAGGGCTTCACATGCGGCTGGGGGCAATCCAAGATCTTCGTCTCTGCAGATCGGAAGACACTCTTCTCCACCGGCGGTTCAGGCCAAGCCCAATCAGCGCTTCAAAATCGCCTTCCACTTTGCTCTGAAAAGTGTTGCGCGAAGATGCGCGAAGTGTTCCCAGGTTCGTGTAGAATCGATGTGAGGTCAGTATTATGCCTTCGACGAGGAGAAGGGCTGGTGGCTGCCTCTGGATGAAGTCAGCTACGGCGATGCGCGAGGCCCGGAAGTGCACACGCGGCAAAATGCGGTCTTCACTGTGTCCTACGCAGATGTCATTATATGCCACCACAGCATTCAGCTTCGTGTTAGTGCAAAAATGGCAAGTGCACAAGCCACCAAAAAAGTCTCGTGCAAAATCTCTTGCAAAACGAAATTAAATCTGGAGCCCTTTTCAGATTCTTACTCGGGAGGCTTCTTTACTCAGCTCACGCAGCAAAGAAGTGAACGGCAGCTGGTTCACAGCGATGGCAGCTTGGCTCAAGACAGCCGAGAACTTTCAACTCTACAGAGCTTTGCAGCGGAAAGTGCATGCATGCAGTCACAGTGTGTGTGTGTGTGTGTGTGTGTGTGTGTGTGCGTGTGCCTCTCCGCCTGTCTGCCTGACTGCGGTCTGCTGTCTGCCTGTCTGGTCTGTTTGTCTCTGTCTCTGTCTCCGTCTCTGGCTCTGTGTCTCTCTCGCTCCCTCACACTCTCTCCCGCTCGCTCTTCTGCAATGCTTTCGGGTCGGGCTGAGGCATCTACCATCTCCCCAGGGCTATCCACAATGCGGACTGTGCCGCACCATGGCTTGCATTTTGTCCGAGCTGTCAGCGCTCAACGGGCTTAATGTTAGGGTTTTTCCATGCGTTCGGTAGAGTTTAGGATCTGTTCAGGGCGACGAAGCCTCATCTCTTAAACTTCTGGGGGGCATTTCTGCGAGGTGTGCTTCGCAGTTGCTGAATACTTAAATTGGCAAACCCAAATCTCCACAACAGCGTTGAGTCATTTTGATTCATCCAGTGTACTCAGCCGGTCCCCAGGTCACCTGGGACGTTCCTTTGCTGGCTCTGCCGCACCCTTCGGATTCGCGCAAGGCACTTTGATCTTCGGGATAAGTGGACTTGTAAGCGGCGGTTTTTGGGGTTTATCAGGGGCCGGAAGGTCGCGGGCTTCCTCATGGAGCTGCGGACGGACCCTGCCCAAAACTGCACAGGAGCGCTCCCAATCGTTCCTAGCTGTGTTTGCTCCACGCTGCACTAGCACCAATGTCGCATCTCTTGAGAGAGGACTGCTGACGGGAGACAGCTTGAATGAGTCCTGGTTGGTTCACTAGGACCTGTGAGTACGATTCAGTACCTATATCCAGAAGTGGAGGTGCCCCGTAGTGCCCCCAACACATCTGCCAAGGACGAACGCACAGTTGCAGAGGCCCTGGCTGAGAAGAAGCCAAAGCCACTCCGACGCGGTCACGTGTGGCACGCTTTCGATGTGGCTTGATTTCATGATATTTTAATATATTTTATGTGTTTTGTGTTCTCTTTTGCTTCGTTGTTCTTTGCGTTCTCTTTGCCGCAACGAGACCTGCCCTTTTGGCACGTTCGACCCACAGGGGACTAAACAGTACAAGTCTTGGTATAGCTTGGCAGCAAACTTGAGAGATCTTGAGAGAGCTAAGTAAGAAGAAGGCTTCCGTGATCGGCTTCAGGAGTCGCGCCTGACGCGCAAAACGTTGCCGATGGACTTGGCTACGTACCATCCGCTCAACTCGCAGTGCCAAAGCGACTCCATTGCAGGGTATTGATGGGCATGGCGTGATGTCGCAAGATATTGCAAGATATTGCACGCTCTTACATGCCCTTCGCAAATTCGGTGTGGGCTGGCATGTTGTGGCAGCCGGCGAGTGTGAAGGTGAAGTGGTGGTCAGCGCTTTTCTTTTGCAAGATGCCACCCAGATTGCCACTTGGCTGCTGCCTGTATGTGCACATAGCTCGTTTGAGTCCAAGCTGATTTTTCCACTTGGGATCCTGCTAGCCTTGGTTCAAGACAACTGGTAGCACGCCGGCACGCATCAGTAGTTGGAGCCATGAAGTCCTTTCGAACGGTTGCTGTCGCAGCCCTGATGGCTGTCTTGGCCCTCGTCCTCCAGGGTTGCAGTGACGACGACGACTCTGATGACACTGCAGCCATCACGACCACCATGATGGCCACCACCACGATGGATGACAATGCTACCACGACAACCATGGCGACCACAACGACCATGGATGACAACGCGACCAACAGCAGTCGCTTGTTGCTGTAGGCGTCTGACGGCGGCTGCGGATGACTATGGCAAGTCCATGATGGATGATCGTTCGCATGAGGTCGCACGAAAGCTGTGACCGAAGCTACAGGTAAGCACTACGAGATTGAATGTACAGGTAACACCACGACTTGCATGTTTGCGATAAAGCAGATGAAGTGTCTGCTTTGGCATGTGCACGTTGCTGGATGTTAAGGGGCCCCTCCCGGATGATTGCCTTTCTGGGCCTCCCCCCATAACGCAGCACTTTTGGCTTTCTTGAGAAAAGTCCTGCCCGCAGAACGCTCCAGTGTTGGGCCAGTGCACCTTCCACTCTGCATTCTTGACATGTTGTTCGGAAGCATCTTGAGGAACACACGCTTGCATGTGCCTGCAGGAAGCATTTAGTTGGAAGGCCGCCCACAGTACATCGTCCCAGATCTCTTTGGTGGTAGAAGCCATGAAGTCCTTTCGCACGGTTGCTGTCGCAGCCCTGATGGCTGTTTTGGCCCTCTTCCTCCAGGGTTGCAGTGAGGACGACGACTCTGATGACACTGCGGCCATCACGACCACCATGATGGCCACCACCACGATGGATGACAATGCTACCACGACAACCATGGCGACCACAACAACCATGGATGACAACGCGACCAACAGCAGTCGCTTGTTGCTGTAGGCGTCTGACGGCGGCTGCGGATGACTATGGCAAGTCCATGATGGATGATCGTTCGCATGAGGTCGCACGAAAGCTGTGACCGAAGCTACAGGTAAGCACTACGAGGCGGAATGTACAGGCAAGCACCACGACTTGCATGTTTGCGAAAAAGCAGATGAAGTGTCTGCTTTGGCACTGGCGCATTGCTGGATGTTCAGGGGCCCCTCCCGGATGACTGCCTCTCTGGGCCTTCCCCCGTGACACAGCGCTGTCGTCTTTCTTGAAAACAATCGTGCCGACAGGTGGTTGTGCTTGTATCGCGGGGCTAGGCTGTGCTGTTTGTGGACGTGTTTCTGCCTGTAGAGAGCGTGAGAGCGTGGGCTAGCTTGCCGCGGAGTCCCAGGCCACTTGCGGGCGCTTTCCATCCATGGCTGAACCAGACCAGGCGGGCTGTCCCAATAGCTGTAGTGCGTTGATGCATCCATTTCTCATACTCCACTCCGCTTTCGAGCATGCAGTTGGGCTAAGAAAGCTTTTCGTATCGAGTGTAAAGAGTGTATGGTGTGGCACCGTGGGGCTGCGGGGGAAATTGTGGCTGAGGTCGTGTGGCTGAGCAGCACCACAGGCCATGGGCCGGAGAGTGTCTTTACCCTGGGAATGGGAACCCATACGAAACCCATCACCAAGAACCCCAATCCTAGGGTCGCCTGGGCTTTGAGCTGCAAACGCCGTCAAATCGCCTCCGCACTGACTGGAGGGCAGCGGCTGCGCACTGCAGCCCTGCCTGGAGTGGCCAGCAGCTGCCGCGAAGTCCCAGGCAGGCCTTTGGCGTGTTTCCTGAAATACGTTTGGCCGTTTAGACCCTACAAGACCGACGCAGGACCTCTATGGCTGCCCCTCCCCCCCCCCACCCCTGCGTGGGTGTGGTTAGGGGGTTGGGGTTTGAGGTGCAGGTTTAGGGCCTACCCCTGCTCCCCCCCCGTGATGTGGTGTGGTTGGGGTTAGGGTTTGGTGTTTAAGGTTTAGGGTGTAGGGTTCAAGGTTCGGGGTTTAGGGTCTAAGTAAGGTTTAGGCCGGTGGTGTGATTGGGCGGTTGGGGTTGGATTTGGGGTTCAAGGTTTAAGAGAGACCGGCCACCCGTGCTACCCCTTCCCCCCGCCGCCGTGGTGTGGGTGTGGTTCGGGGATTAGGGTTTAGGGTTAATCCTAGCCGTAAGAAAAGGGTTTAAGGTTTAAGGTTTCGGGTTTACATAAGTTTAGGGTTTTAGGTTTAGCCCCCCCCTGCCTGTGCTGTGAATGGGGGGTTGGCGGATTTACGGTTTAGGTTAAGGGTGCGAGGTTTTAAGGTTTAGAGGAGGGGAGGGGGGGCGGCCGGATACCATGGTGAGGGGGGAGGGAGGTTCCATGGGAGGATACCTTGGGGGGGCGGGGATACCATTGGGGGGTGGGGGGACGGCCGGGGAGCCCGAGACCCCATATATATATATATATGTATATATATATATGTATATGTATATGTATATGTATATATATATAGATATATATATATATATATATATTTTTTTTTTGTGTATATATATATGTATGTATATATATATATATGCTCATATGTATATATATATATATCGGTATATAGATATATACATATATATATATATATATCGATAGATATATCGATAGATCGATGGATAGATGGATGGATATATATATATATATATTTATATATGGACCTCCCTCATGACCTACTGGCATCCTTCTTATCCGGAGGGCGCACTTTGTACTCCTCTATTTGCTTACACTTTCTTGCTTTTGCGCGGTCTCCTGACCCCCTGGTCCCGGCGGTCCGAAGGCCCTGGTCTCGTCGTCCACTCATCTCCCGATCCCCGGTCGCAGTCTCGCGGCCCCTAAGAATTTTCGAGCTGTCAAAGGACATGAATCAACGACCCATATGATTTCCAAAGACATCATGTAAGCATTGTGTTTGCAGATGGCGCCCGCGCTTGAGCTGTGCAATCTTTGTTTTCAAGCAATGTCGTGCCATCAGACATTCCTTCCAGGCCCATGCGAGTCTTTTCTAAACCCATCTTGCGAGCTGTGTTTGCGCAGTGCCATGGTCTCAAACCCTCCTTCAACCCTAAGCCCTAAGCCCCTAGTTTGGCGAGGTGAAACGCGTAAATCTCTTCACGCCAGGAGGTGGCCCTGTCGGTCTTCTTGCCGCTGGTGACTTCGGCCTGATCGGCTTGGGTGACGTGGGTGAGGCACCTGAAAACCACATAGACAATGTTTCTTTGGGGGTGTATTTCGGACTTTTGTGCTTGATTTTTGCCATGAAGAAATGGCCGTTGTCTCCAAGTTTGTCGAAGAACTCTACAAGCTCAGCTAGGGACTGTTTGTGGTTCTGGGCCTGTTGTATGGAAAACAAGAGGCCGTGGGAGTATGCCATGTTTCAGACTTGCCTGCTAGTTCTATCAAAAGTGCCCTGTTGACTTTGTTGGTATACACGGTGCTTTCTTTGACTTAGGGTCTAAGTCACATTGCCGACAACAGTATTCGCTTTGTTTGTCAGAGCATCCATACCCGTTCGTTTAAGCATCCGTGCTGCCAGTGCATCCGTTGCCCAGAGCATCCATGCAAAGCATGCGCGACAAGAGAATGGTATCTCCAAGCACAAGACCCAGTATCCAAGACTCTAAGACTCATTTTGGCACTGCAAGGCGGAAACCCTACACTTACCACGCCTCGGCCCCAGGCCACGACCAATGAAAAAACGGAAAGTACAGTTTTACATGCTTACCGGGACTACGGTTTCAAGCAAGAACTGGAGCAATTTTCCCCCGAGGAAAACTAGTCCAAAGATCCTCTCAGGCCTCGAGCGAAATTACGTTTTGCGAAGCAAATCCCTGAGCCTTGAGTCTTTTCGACACCTCCCGCATCTGCTCCGCAACAGATGGAGTTTCAGGCGCGTACACTTGTAGCTACCGTCGGCGCATGCACGAGAAAGTCTCAGACAACCTCGCCATCAACCCCAAGACCATGGCAAGTTGATCACATCGAACTGCACCGAATGGCGATCCGGACCTACTGGAGCAAGGAACCTTAAGTCCGATTAATCTCCCGAAGTCGAGAAGTCGCAATTTGATGGATGAGGGGTGTCATGTGAAAGTCAGAAAGTCTCGAAAAGTCGACATGTTGAGAGAAGCATCAAAAGGCGATCAATCCTCACTGGCCCGAAACCCAAACCAAGCTTCGGATGATGTGGAATTCAACGTCCCAAACCGTCCGAAAATTTGAACTCGTCGAAAAGTCCAGGCAAAAGCCGAGCAATGGAGTCTCCGGCTGACAGAGACAACAATGACAACCGCTTGCTTGCTAGATGCTTTTCGAAAGGTACGTTTTGCAGACGCTGGCATCCAAACAGGATTTGATGCGTCTCCAGAGAAGCACTCTGTGTGCGTGTCGCGTCAGCAACACCTCAGACCCTGATCCAAGAGGGGTACAAGCAGTGGCGTTTAATGGCATTTAGTTGAGTTTAGTGGAGGTCTGGACCGCCGCAGTGACCGAGGCCAGATCGGTGTCGCGGCGGATGTCTTTGGGCTTTCAGTTGGGGGTGCGTTGGCTTTGCATCTGGGCTTTGGACTCTGAACCGTGCCAGGTGGTCGCAACATCTGCTGTAAGGGGTGGCCGTGTGGCCGTCGTCACCTCCAACAGGACAGTGGCTGCCGCGAACTTGGCATATGATGCCGGTGCTGCAAGTGAGCTTATATGCGCCATAGAATCGAAAAGTTAGGGCCTTCAGGCGTAGGCCCGACAGCGTGTCTTTCGAAGTCTTATGCAGATCAAGAAGAGGCATGGTCATATTGGTCATTGTTCTTTTCGTTCGTCTTATTTTTGGTGGGGTGTGGCCAGCTTGTTGTAGCAGCGCTGTGGCCATCCCCAAGTCTTCCGCTTCTTCTGCTGCGATACCTTCAGGCCCTATGGCCACTGTCAGGTCTTCTCTGTGTCCTCTGGGGCTTTGGTGGCCCAGCGGGCTTTCGGCTACAGTTATGTTACGGTACCTCGGCAGCCGTACGTGTCTCCTGCGACTGGCAAGTGACATGGGTCATTTGCGTCTGGGTCTTTGTTACATGTTTTCAGCTTTTGTTGGGCAGTACAAGAGGTACGCAATGTGGGTCGGCCTAATGATGCCTGAAACTGTAAGCCCACTACCGACATTTCATCCACCACAAAAAGCATGCTGAGATCAGGCTGCTGAAATGTTTACGGATGGCCGAGTTGCTGTTGGAGCTTATACCAACAACAGAGCCACCAATGCAGTACAGCTCCTTGGCTCTGAGTTATTCCTTTCGGAAGGGTCCCGTAGGACATGGCCAAACACTAACTTGAGATGTGGAGCCGATGCCGCAGGATCGCCCGCATGGAGATCTTCAGCTCAGACCTTTCTGAGCGCCTCACGCAGACGTGGGGGATGCCCCTCGTCCCACCTCCTATCTCGGTCTACGTAGCAAAAGCGGCCCGGCCAGCAGAGGTTTTCCGCAAAGGAGGTGGACGAGACGCACAACATGGCAGACACCAGGTGCGAAACTCGTCGCTGTGTGTGCACTGCAGAGTAACAGGCATCGAGGGCTTCGATGTAAATCGTATGTATTCCATTTCTATCTGTCTATCCGTGCAGTTTGCACGAGGCATCACGAATCTGTGTTGCGATGAGCCGTGCAGCCCTTGTTGAGGGTCTATGGCCTGGTCCTCGATGATCTGGAGGAGCACGTCTATGTGGCCGGAGAGTCTGCGGGGGGCAACACGATCTTCCGCTGGAATGGGCAGGCCGGGCTGAGTTGCAAACCTCCAAAACCCTAGAGACCATGCTCAGGTCCCCACACACAAAGCTTCCTCTAAGCTTCCCGGCGAAGCGACGGCAGTATCGGCAGGACCTTTCAACGGGCACGGCCCGCGACACGGGCACCCCGATGCGGCTTGGAACACCAGATCTACTTTGATGTACAGGAAGTTGATGCGAGTCCAGAAATTTGAGCTGGGAGCCCACCTAAGCATCGGAAGTCTACCAAAGAGCTAGCAAGTGTTGGTTGCCCATCACGTCGAGACTTGCCCTAAACCTACCATACCGACGACTTGTAGAAAGTTTAGGCCCTAGACCGAACCTCCGGCCACAGGCCCTTGAAGGTGCTTTGCATGCGTTGGAGTGCTGCTTTCTTGTATCTGCACCATTCAGAACACCATTAGCGAACATCCAGACTCACAACTCCAACGGACATGCAAGCAAAACGCAGGGACTTCGTGCCCCTTCCCGAGCTGTAGCCCGAGGTGGATGGCCAAGTCGGATGCGCACGTTGGCTATGTTGGCCGAGTGCGGGCCAGCGACGGAGTCGTCGTCGGAGGTGACATTGGGAATGGGGCATTGGACCATGGGGCCTGTCATGGTGGCTTCGAACAGCGCGTTCTCTGCTCTACTGCTCAGAGAACAGGTACGTTTATAGCGCCCATCCTCCGCTCGGGCCAGCGGCTGAACACCTTCCGCATGAAAGGCTCCGAGTGCATCGGATGTGTGCTACGCGTTGCTGTGAAATCTGAATTCAGAACGTCACACGATTTGTTCGAAGGTAGCGCCCTGCAGTTCGATGGCGAAAGCAACTCCCTCTACGTGCCTTCCTTATTCCTAAGGACTTAAGGAGAGCCTCCGCAGCTCTGTGCCGAGCCTTCGGGATCTTTTTTTACCTTTTTTCCTAAGGCTCTAAGGACAACAGGGCCCTGAACCCTTCCCGAAAAGTCGCAAAAAGCCCAATCTTGGCTACTCTCAAGGTCATGGGAACTTCCACTTGTTGCATCCCGGGCCGGACTGCCTTCACCCTGGCCGGACAAAGGCAAGGCGATTTGGGGTTTTTGAGTGGCTTAGGTTTGAAGGCATAAGGGCTTCGGGTACAAGGAAAAAGTCATGGAAGGGGTGAGGGTGTCTAAAGGGTTTCAGGGCTTATGTGCGTCGGTGTTGTCGGGGGAGAAGCTCGCCGGACAAGACCTTTCAAGCTCCAAGCATCTCCAAGCCAAAGCTTTAGGCCAGCTGCAGCTTAGAGTTTGGGGTTTGAAAGCTGATGCAAAGGCCCTCTGAGCCCACAAGCTACATGCAAAGCTCAAGTCACTTCAAGAAGGGTGGATGGCGGTGACCCGGCGGGATATGCCGGGAGTGACCCGAGCCTCGTGGCCTTCGACCTGGAGCTGAGGCCCCGCGTAGAAAGTAGGGTGCTGTTAAGATGGTCACCAAGGTGCTAGGGCTGCTAGGAGCTGCTAGGAGCTTTCGGGTCGGGACTCAACACTTCGGAATCGCTTCAAGGCCTTGGCATCGACCTCTGGGCTTTACGTTACCGGTCGCCCGTCCTGCCATGTGCAAGCCCAAATGGCTATCTCAGCCTATCTCAACCTGGTTCAACCGCAGAGCCCGCAAACTTCCCGCAAGCATCAAAGCACCCCAAAAAGCACCTTAAGCTGCCTTTAGCCCTGAGGCAGCGCCGGGCCTGGACCACGTTCAGCCGCTGGCGAAACAAGGGATCCCCAGCAGGCCGAACACTTCCGCTGCCACCTCACAAGGGAAATCTGGGCTTGGCAATGCTCCGGCACGTTACCTTGCGTTATCGGTGCTGGTCTTGCCCTTCTGTTTCTGTTGTGATTTAGTGTGCAGCTGCCAGTATACTACTGGTACTCCAATGGCCGTGTGGAGGTGCTCTAATGTCTCTTAGGAACGTGGGCTCACGCGTTCAAAGCTGTCCCAACTGTCCAAGACGACGGGTTTGTGTCGCCTGTTTCAGAGTAACGTGAAAATGTGAAACGCTCCATGAGATGGAGAGATCATGAGAGAGCATAGAGAGCATGTGCTTCTGTTGTGGCTGCTGCCATCCAAGGGCTGGTGAACAAAACAAACTCGCACTGTGGGGTGTGGGGCTCCAGGTTTCAGGCACTTGGTTGCGTGTGCAAACCCGTGCAACGCCGGTCCATGCACGTGTACCTGGCTCAGGGGTCCAAAAACGGTTTCGAAGATTGCAGAGTGGAACCTGCCAGGACTCTCAGTCCAGAACGGCCTCTTGACCATCGCCGTGACAACGCATGGAGGCCAGGCCATCACCACGCAGAATGCGCTGTTCCCCAACGCCTCGGAAGCGGAGGCCATTGCTTGCCAGGGTCACATGGGGCAAATGGGCGTTCCTAGATGTTGCTGGCTTTCTGTACTGTACTGGCTCTTTCTACCGACGTCCGAAGAAGAAGCTCAGAAGCCTAAAGGCCTAAAAGCGCCGCGACACCTGTTACTCCCTCATCCCTCAGAATCCCGCAGAGTGTCCCTGGAGTGCCAAAAAAGAATCTGGCAGGGAGTCGCGTGCGACAGGATGCTCAAGAAAAACGGCACTCCCTGCCCGTCCACTGATGCAGGCTAAAGCCTGAACCTCGAACCTACGCCCAACACCGTAAACCACAAAGATGTTCAGGCACTGATCACAACTACCCTACAAGGTTGAAAGAAAGAAGCAAGGAAGTCAGGAACAAACCTAAACCCCAACCCCCCAAAATCCTAAACCCTTACGACCTACATGCAGAACCCTAAAGTTCTGAACCATAAATCCTAACTTCGAAAATCCCAAACCCTCCTGACTCTACAGCATTTTGGGGTTTAGGGTTTGCAGGCTCGTGGGTCCTGGCTGCTTTAGGTTAGGGTTTAGGATTTAGGGTTTTTTGGGTGCGCAGTTTAGGGTTTAGGGTTCTTAGTTTTAACTTTGAATTTTTTTAAAGGCAGAACTTTAGGGTTTTTAAGATAGGAGTTTAGGATTTCAGTTCTGTGTTGAGGGTTTTGATGGTTTGAGTTACTTTTTTTGGTATTTGTTTTTATGTTTTGCATATTTATGAGTTTAGGGCTTGTAGAATCTTAGATAGGTCTGTGGCTTGGGCCCGCCCTTGGGTTTTTGAGGGTTTAAAGGCGCGCATGATTCTGGCGCTTAGATCTTCGTTTTTTTGTATTTTTCAGGGTTTTAAAATCTTTAGTTAGGGTGTTATGGATTAAAGGGCTTTAAAACTTTGAGGGGTGTAGGCATCTGATGATTGTTTCGTGTTTTCAGGGTCATCTTGAGGTTCAGTTATTCAGGCTTCAAGGTTTAAGTATTTGGGGTTTTGCGTTTAGGATTTTGAGTATGTTTTCGGTTTTGGGCTTTGTAGGCTTTGGCAGTTTTTGGGTTCTGCGTCCTTGGGTGTTTATAGAGGGTTTTCCGGCTTAGGGTTCAGGGTGTGTAAGGCTTTCAGGGTTCTTTGCTTTTTGAGGGTGTATAGGCTTTACAATACGTTGTTCTGGTTTGGTGCCTTTAGAGCTTGAAGGTTTTCGAGGTTGAGTGGATCAGGGGTTTGCATCTAGGATTTCTTTCTTTTGCAGCAGTTTTTTTCTGGGGTGGTTTTGGGTCCTTGGGGTTTTTCGGGTTTTAAAGGGTATGGTGTTAGGGCGTAACTTCGGTTTTAGATTTTCAGGGGTTTTAGCTTTAGGGCGTTTAGGTTTTGACGGCTTCAAGGGGTTGCAGGGTACTCAGAATTTGGTGTTTGGGCTTTGTGGGCACCTTTTCAGTCTTGAAGGGTTTCGAGGTTTAGGAGTTTAGGGTCTGGGTTTGGTGTGTAGGGTTGAGGTTTTGGTGCTTCAAGGCTTTGCACGTTGTAAGGTTTTGGGCCCTTGTGGTTTTTAGGGGCTTTAGGAAGCTCGTTCTAGGGTTGGGGTTTGGGTTTCTTCGGGTGTAAAGGGCAGAGTGCTGCAGGGTTGTTGATTAGTTGTTGGTGTTTTTTTGTTCTTAGGGCTTTTTCAGCTTTAGAGTTTGGACGGGCTTTAGAGCCTCAAGAGTTGGCAGGGTTTGAGAATTTTGAATGCTTCTAACCGTTTTTGGGCCTCCTGGAGTTTAGGCTTTGTAGTTACGGGTTTGGTGTCTTTAGGGTTTTAGGGTAGGGCTTTGGGTTTCGAGATTCCCGGGTTAGACGGTTTTGGGGTTGCTTTAGGACGTTAATGGCTTTATTAGTGGCTTTAGGACTTCTTTCGGGCTTTCAGGGCTTTTAGGGTGGTAGGGTCCAGGGTTTGCAGGCTTTTGATTGTGCTCTCGGGTTTCGTGTCGTTAGCGTTTTACGGGTTTCGGGGTTTGGGTTTGGTTTTGAGGGTTTTGACAGTTTTGAGGGTTGAGGGTTTTGATTTGCATTTATAGGAAACGGCTTAGCATTCAAAAGTCCAGTGGCTTATGAATGGCAAGTTAAACATGTGCTTTGAATGGATTGGCAAAAGCACAGTCTCAAGAACACATGAAAAAGCTAAACATGAAAAAGGAGTACTATTTGTATGCAAAGCAATACTATCATACCCCTGAATGCGAGGATCTGGCCTGCGATGTGCCGTCCGACGCCAAACTCACGGACGTTTGGCTAGCTGTGCCTGCGATGTGAATCGACTGGGTTTTGTTTAGCGCCATAGGGCCATTTTCGTTTAATGTGCTAAGCGCAGGCCCGCTTTGTGAGTAGCAGCACAAATGCATGAAATGCCTGCGCCGTTTTGGCCGGTGTTGCGAAAGGGGTTGCTTGCAGCGAATGGGCCGCGGCACTGCTACCCTGGCGAGGATCGTACGCACGGGACCGCGGCGAAGGTCCACAAACTACGACAGTTCTGTACCTAGAACCGATGGGATGCGCGAATCAAACCCATCCAGCAGGCATGAGAAGCAGGAACGTACGTTGCCACGTTTCAGCGGTTCGGAGTTGTTCCAGCTTCGAAAAGTGATCGCAAATCGTGTAATCTCGATGAAAACCGCGACGAAACGGGTCCCGAAGCCAGGCCCGCGATTAGGCGAGAAAACGAAAATCATACGTGTGAGATTAGCGCACATCAGTTCGCAAGTCCTCCAAGTGTAACCGTGGCACGAAATTGGTGATGGCGCCAGCGTTTCGCGCCATGACTTTGCAAGGTGTTGGAGGCTTGCGTGCGGGACAAATCTATTCCTTTCGAGCCCCGAAGCCCCAGACTCCTCGATCCTACGTCTGAGGTTTTGCCCGCCCTGCCGCCAGTGGGCACTCCGACATTCCCCAAAGGTCGTGCCAGGCGGTTTGAAAGGATGTTTTTTTCTCGGGTTTTGTTAGGGTTTCTGGTTTTCCCGAAACCCCACGATTTCCCAGTTCTCTTGACAGAGCTCCGGTCATGAGATTGGCTTCCTCCAGTAACCCTGCGGCCTTAAACCTTACAACAGGCCGGGCCTAAAGCGCCCTGAACCAACAGGCGTGTCTTCTTCGGTCGGCTGCGGCTGCGGGTGCGCTCTGCGGAGGCCTCCTGCTCCGATTGCCCCCATCCATTCGCCTTGATGGTTTTTTATACCTGAGCTCAGCAGCAGTCCGAAGCCCAAGGCCCTTCAGCTCAACACCCAGAATTGCAAGCCAAGACCTAGCATGGAAGAGACAGCCAGAGAGAAACATCGAGAATGCTTAGCCCGCGGAACAGGGCCACCTGCTCAAATATGCTGCTAACAGATCCTGACTAACTCTGCAAAAATCCAAGAGCAAAGCAACAGGCCCTTGACTTGTCGCTCATGCACTTAAACAGCTTCGGGCAATCCACCCTTTCAGACCTTTGTCGACGATGCCGATGCTCGCCGGGGTCTGCGTCGCGGTCTGGCACGGGCGCTGCAGGTGAGGGGAATTAGTTAGTTTGTTTGGTTAGTGACTGGATCCATCCTAGTTGTGTAGATTTACGAGGCTTTCTTGATTCAGGGCTTTTGGCTGAGGCTGTAAGTTGTAAGTGGTCCTCTCAACCGTAACGTCTCTCAAGCTTCTTCCTCGAAGGTTTTGAACACAAGCAGAAAAGCGCGAAAAGGTGTTGAGAAGCGAGGCCTCCTCAACTTGCACCTGCCAACATCTCGCTTACTACAGGAATCCCAGGAGCCGGAGAGGCCCACCGAAAAACCACGAAAAGCCCAGAAGCCGGAGCATCCTGGAGGTGCCTGAGGAGAACGTGAACGTGACCAGCGTCCAGGTTGTCCCCCTTGGGGGCCGCCGGCTGGCGATGCTAGGCCTCGCGACTGCTCTCCCCCAACTGACTTTCTCAACTGAGCGTGGGTCAGCGGTTCTTGAGGCTTTTCCCACACCACTCCGCTCCAGGAGAGTTACTCGTGGAATACACGGTCACCGAAACGGATCAGCCCATGGACATGGCGGCTGTGGAGCACATGGTTCAGGAGGCTCCGAATCCTTGGGGCCAGCTGCTGGGGAGGGTTTATTCGGGGCTCTAGTGGCGGAGTGTTTAGGAGAGTTGAGGGCTGTAGATGCAGTGCTTCAGGCATTTCAATATCAATCACAATTTTTGATGACCATGATGATGACGATGATGATGGTGAATGGTGATGGTGATGGCGATGGCGATGGTGATGATGATGATGATGATGATGATGATGATCATGATGATGATGATGATGATGATGAGGATGATCATGGTGAATGGTGATGATGATGGTGATGATAATGGTGATGATGATGGTGATGCTGCTGCTGCTGCTGATGATGATGATGCTGATGATGATGTGGTGGTGCTGGTGGTAGCGGTGGCGGTGGCAGTGGTGGTGGCAGTGGTGGTGGCGGTGGTTGGTGGTGGCGGTGGCAGTGGTGGTGTTGGTGGTGCCGGCGCTGGAAATTGGTGCGGATGGTGAATACGCTGCTGCTGACTGGTATCATGGTGCTGACTGGTATCATGGTGTACTCGCTATCTCCGGAACCATCCAAACCCTGAGTCGGGCAGCGACCCGCAGGTCGAGGCGAACTCCACTGCGATCCTGGGCGAGATGGTCTCTGCTATCGCCGAGTTGGCCCCAGAGTTCGCGACCTCCATCGAGGAGCAACTTTTTGATCTGAGGGTTGTTTAGGTTGTAGGGTCTAAAGGTTCTGGGCAACCATCTTACGGGCCCTTCCGAGGTTGAGGTTTGTGGGTTTGTAATCGCAGATGGTCCATTAGGCCTCAGGTCGAGGGATCGGCTTCGAGCGGCAGGTTGCCCAGAAGAAGCACTCTGACAGTACATAAGTACCATCCATTCCATGTGATGAACTGCTCCAATCTCCCTCCAACTCCCACCCTCGCACCCACCCTCCCACCCTGAGGAGGTGGAAATAGAGGCGGCGTCAACCAGTACCGAGGGCTCATTGACCTCAGCATCCCTGACCCAACCTTCTACCACCATTTCGACCTCGAAGGAGTTGCTCTCAGCAGATGTCGCGGAGAGCACCACCACATTCAATGCAGAAGATGCTCTAAGCTCGAGTAGTCAGCATCCTGGAGCCTTCCTGTGGACGGCTCTTTTAGTCGCGGTGTACCGTACCAAACGGCTATGAAGTGCACCGCAATGATGCAATGTACAGATCTGGCTGCTTGGAGCAGCGGCTGGGTGCTGCGACGTGCACCTTGTACATCGTTCTGCCTTGCAGCAAGACCCGCCGACTGCACTTCAAGACAGCCGCAGCTTGCCTGGGAGGTCGGGTGGTGCAGCGGGTGCAAACGTGAAATGTGCACGGGCAATGCGGCTGCTTTAAGACTCTGACCTTCCAAGCAGAGTATGCATCCTGATTTGGTCTGTCGCTCACCAGTCAGCGCAGCCCAACAAGGCGAGGTTGCCGAGACTATTGCCTGCACAAGCAGAGCCTTGTAGTGGGCGAAAATGATGCTTGGATTCTTTCACTTGGTCGTCGCATGTTATTGGTGAGGCGGGGAGATGACGACTGAATTCGTGAACCTGCCCGAAATCCTAAATCTACGACAAGCAGGTGGATTAAGACTCGACAAGCCCCAAGCCCATGGTGTAAGACTCGACGAGCCCCAAGCCCATGGTGTAAGGTTTGGGGTTGGGAGTTTCTGAGTGTTGGACTTCTTCCAGTCTTGGCGCAGTTTTGTGGCTCGAAGCCCGTCGCCCTTTCTGTGGGTCTTCTTCAAGGCGGGACAAAGGTGGACTTTTGTGTGTGTGTGTGTGTGTGTGTGTGTGTGTGAGAAGCTTTTCATGAGTTGGGAGGATGGGCAGACCGATCACTGGGGGTGGGGGGGTGGGGGCGGTGGGGGGGTTTGGGGGGGGTGTGCTCATGCAGGCCCATCACCAGCATCATCACCCGATATGTTCAGGTGCTCGTGGGATGCGCAAAAGTCTCTGTGTGTGTGTGGGTGGGTGGGTAGGTGGGTGGGTGGGAGCTCGCTCTCTTGATATCTTGTCAGGAGGTCAGAATCAACAAGGACGGAGCCTCGTCACACGTGCAAGGGTTGAATCCTGACAGGTTTGAATGGAGCAATGGAAGCTCTTGAAGCTCTTGGCAAGGCCAGCAGCACACGCATTAGGGCAAATGGCATGGCGATTCGCTGTCGCGATGCTGTGGCAGGAAACCCTGAACAAGGTCAATGAAAAGGCACGCTGTGCGTAACTGTGATGCCAGAGCCAACATGGAAGCCGGATCCATGGTTGGACATGCGAGGGCTTCGTGCCTGACGACGTCCGCAATTCGTTTTTCAGGCAACGCGCTCAGCATAGAGGCGTTTACAATGGTTTGTTGTGCCATCAGCGGGAGCTGTCCCCAAAGCTTGCCGTGACGATATTAAGGCATAAGTGCGTGTGATGTACTGTTGTATCACTAATTGTAAACACGCTTGCGCGCGCCGCCTCGGCAGCCGGGCGGCCCAGGACAGGAAAGGAGGAAAGAGGGTTTCGCAACAAAAAGGGGAGGGGGTGGGGGGCGGGGTGGGGGGAGCGGGGGTGACTCCCCCTGTAGGAGCCACCGACAGGCGGGACCCTCCACGGCATCGGTTTGCAGCTCCTCCAAGCGATTGGGGGGGGTCCCACAGGGCGGCGGGGGGGGGGGGTGGAGGAGGCCCGATCCGGGTCTGCTTGTTACAGACGCTTCTCGGCAGGAAGCCGAGGCGAATTACAGTCGACAGACTTCATGCGGTAGACATTGGCTTCGATCAGGTATCATGGTTCGCCGAACTACCAGAGAGTTTTCAAGAAACAGACCCGAATGCCCTTGAACTTGACAGATTTGGAAGTAATCGCAGCCCCAATATCCTAATGACCCATGCTTAGTTAGTCGTAGTCGCTCTGCCAGGAAGCTGCGCATGAAGAGCGAGAACCGCTCCTGTTTTGAGTGCCCGAACAGGCGCTTGCGCTTTAAAGCCTGTTTAGGGATGATGTGCTGGACCGACTGTGTCTGCTATGTCCGCCTCAATCACCAGGAACCCGACCTGGATCTCGCTGACCTACGGCATCTATCTCTGCTGGTGCCCGAGAAAGGCATACAGCCGTGCCTTCGAGGAGAACAGCTACACGAGAGCAGTCTTCACAAAATGGGCACAGTTGAGAACTTAGTGTAGACAAGGATGTTTGGTGCAGTAGATGGTCGTTGGCGCAGTCCCGCAGTAGATGTTAGGGCGTCACGTGTCCATGGACATCTTTGAAACAGTCGAAGTTGACATGCGGGTGATCCTAAACCCCTAATAACGTTCATGAAGCCCTGGGCAATTGCGCTCCAACCAGGTCTGGAGTGTTCCGGGGAGCATAGACGCAAGGCCTGGGCATGCGAGATTTCTCTGACAGTGTGTCCTGAGTTTAGTGCTACGGTCTTATCTGTCTTTCGCAGCGCTGATCTGCAGGGTGTCCACATCTCCTTTGTTCGCAGTGTGGCAATCTCAGGCTTCAGCTCAGAACATACTAGGACTCGGCTAGACGGCAAATGACTAAACGCAATGTCCGCATTCCCAGGTCGAGCTTGACGGCTTCACACCAGAACAGATGGTGCAGCCTGGAGCCTAGAGCCGACTCTAGCCTAGTGGCATCTAGCGGCCTCGCCGGGTTGAACATCACACATCCCGTTTGACCTCGTCGCCCTGCCATTCTTGAAGTTCAAAGTTCAAAGCCAGAGCAAAGGAAGCACAAGCAGATGGAAGCATGCCTTCCGTCAGGATGGCGGCTGGCGGCAATGGCAAGGTGAGGAACTGGGGCTGAGGGCCTCAGGGTTCGTGGGGTTGGGCTTGGGCTTTTGGTGTTTTGTGGTCGGAAGCTGGCAAATAAATCGGGAGTTATGGCAATCATGCCAATTTTGGCAATCATGGCAATCATCGTATGCCTTGGGTCTTTGGCGCGGAGGCATAAACTGCAAGGCCTTGCACGGCCTTGCACAGCCTTGCATAGCCACAGCCTTGCACAGCCTTGAAACCTAAACGGCGTAATGACGCCTTAGCCGCCTAAACCGCCTAAATCCTAAATTGATACCAGGCCCAGGACTACTTCAAGGGCCACGAGATGGGAAAGCTGTCAGGGTCTGGCCGCCCGGTGGACTACACCTCCAAGGTGGCTCAGAGGTGCGACTCTGCGACGTGCTCAAGCTTGTCAAATCGAAATGTAAATGCCGACCTCGGCGATCCCCTCAGACAGGCTACAATGTTCTTGGGCATGACAATGATGAGTAGCCTCGATAGGTACAAAGCTCAGCTCGACTACGACGCGAAAAAGTTCTGTGAGAAATTTTCGGTGGTTGGCAAAAATGCCAGCCAGGCCCGATGCGGCAGCATCAGCCCCGAATTCAAATTCTTGTTGGGGGTGTGTATCTCGCTGGAGACTTTCTAGGGTCCATTTCCGAAGCCAGGCCTCCAACAAGGAGTCGGCTGTGGATCCTGTTGACCAGGCCAGTGGAGGGGTTGAGGTAGGACACAAAGCAGTTTTCAACAAACATGTAAACTCTAACCAACCTAAACGGCTCAGCATGTCCCAACACATCTTAAAGCCTTGAGCAAGGTTGAACGGTTAAGCCAAGGTGCGAAGAAGTGGAACAGCCCGTCCTGAGAGAGAGAGAGAGAGAGAGAGAGAGAGAGCGAGAGAGAGTGTACTAGGTCAGCCACGGTACATAGTTGCGCATGCTACTCCTTACAGACTGGGACCCCGGGGACGGCTGACATCAGCGATGCATGCGGATACAAGGGGAAATACTGAGGCAACGATTTCCGGACAGCACCGTAAGACCCAACACCCTGAACCTTCAAAACCGACTACGGACGGTAAATCGGATAAAGCATCTCTGAAGGCCACGGACTTCTCCTTCGAGGCACCAGATGTGAAGGCTCTGCGGGGGGACATGGGAAGGCCGGTTCTTGAAAAGAGGTTGTTGCGCCACGGTGGAACTCACGAAGCTCTCAAGAAAGAGTACAGGGGGCGCATCTGGGGCAGATACGGCAGCTTGGACTTCCCTTGTGTGATTTCCTTTGAGAACATGTCGTCAACCAGTCCGGCAATGCAAGAGACTCCCCGTTTTACTTAATATATCTTAATATTACTTTCTGCTTCCCTTCTGCACCTGCACACTCCAGGCAGCGAGTGCATCGCCCTCCCCAAAGGCGTGGTCTGCAGCATCCTCTGCTTTAAGATTCTCTGGGATTGGCCTCGGTTTGCGTTTGCGGTCTGCTTAAGACGAACCCCTTCTCTGGAGACGACGGCCCACAAGCCAGTGTTGTGTTGGTGCTATTTGCTTTCCTGTTCTAACGGGTGAAGTACGGCTGCTTATTCCTGTTGCGCTCGAATGCCCGCTCGCCCCGTCCATTTCGAGTTGCCATTTGAGTCCCGGCATAATCCCCCAACGCCAGGCAACCAGTGCATCGCCTTCCGCGAAGGCATCCGCACAAATCGGCTTTTCGAGTCAGATTCTCGCTAGGTTCTCAGGGCTTCGTCGCTTCGCTTTGTATTCAGGCGGAGACATGCTGAGAATTGGCGTCAGCTTGGTGTCAGGGTGTATGGGCTAATGTCACAGGCTCTTTGAGAAGACAGCCCAAGGGATCCCAACCCAGCATGGCCCTTGCCGACCGCAACTCATGGAAAACGCTGAGCCTGCCAACATGTCGAAGGCTGTTTTGTCATACTGGAGATAGAGAATGAGAGAAGAGAATGAGAGAAGAGAATGAGAGAAGAGAATGAGAGAAGAGAATGACAGTAGAATGACAGCAGAATGACAGAAGCGTGAGAGATGAGAGAGTCGCCAGTCTCCAAGTCTAAGTGCATCCTCAACATCCCCTAGAATGACCCATAATGACCCTAATGGCCCTAAAGCCAGGAATCTCGGCTCAGAACTTCTGAGGCCCTAAGCTCTGGCAAACGGAAATAAAAATGAAGCTCATTCCACAATTCACCCCAAAAGCCGTCGCTGGCCAGTCCGCGAGCGCTCAGTCCGCTCCGTCCCCGCAGGCTTAGTGGGGCTGCGGCAGACGTGGTAGAACCGTTTTTGGAGAAGTGCTGCTGAGTTGCCAGGATTTTCTGGAGATTTAGGGGGCTGGAGTCCCGAAACACCCGGAATCCCAGCATTTCCAGGCCCGAAAGCCATCGAAAACAAATTCAGACACCTGAAGCACCCCAAAACACTCAGAGCTTTCCTGCTCAGCCTTGCCAGGCCATGGGGGGTTACCCCGAGGCGGTGCCTCCAACGCGAGGCCTTGAGGGGGGACCGGGCCGCGTCTTCTCGTAGCCAAGAAGAGACGCACAACAAACGAAGCAGAGTTTGCATCATTTACGTGACAAAAGACGTCAAGAGAAAACGACAGTATAACAGCGTCGAAATCAGTGAGAGTAAAGATTGAAAGGCGTCGTGGCATCCTCTGATTTTCTCCAAGAAATGAGAGTGTTTAGGGTTTGGTTTTAGGAGATTGGGGCGTCGATGGTAGGCTTCGTCGTGTAAAAACTCGATGTTTCTTTGTGCTGTTGTGGGAGCATGCCAGGTGCCTCTGCGCCAGCAGTGGCGGGGCGCCTGTTTGTGAAAGCACGGGGGTGGCAGGTCGAGTTTCAATTCGGCTTAGGTACCTTGCAAACGGTTCTTGTTCTTGCTTGTGACCTTGCGGTTTCAATCGTATCCCCAAATGAAGCAGACCTTATAAACCTTAAGCCCGAAATCACAACACTGGGCTCCACGTGGCTTGAACCTACGCTGCCTGATAAGCTCGGACAGAAGCCAAAGCCGTAAAGCCCCACACATGTTGAAGACCCCAAACCCTCAATCCTTCAAGACGCAGCCCTCGACACGACAATCCTTCAACCCTCAAGACACAACCCAAAAAGACCCAAACTCACAACAGACCCTCAACGCGGAAAGCCGCAGCACCTCCCCCCCCTCCCCCCACCCCAAACTTGCCCTGAAGACGAGAAGCCCTAAGCCATGCCAACAACCGTGAATGACATATGCCTCTCAAACGCTGCGAATCCGCTAAGGTCTGGAACTGCAAGCCCAAGAAACACCAGGGCTGAGAATGAAAGACCCAACGCCCTACCCACACCCCTTAAAACAAGTCCAACAACCCTAGCAGCCCTAAACCCTGCGAAGCCTGAAGCCAAACAACCGTCAGCCCCAAGAACATTAAAAACAACTCCAAAAACCCTCTAAACCCAAGGCTGCCAACCCGGCAATCCTCAAAACCACGAAAGGCCCCTAAACCCTTGAAACGACAACCCAAAACATCCGGCCGACCATTCCTCATTCCTCATACCTCAAAAACTATGCATCCGAACAAGCACCCATCTTTAACAGCCCTAAGCCTGAACAAAACCCTCAAGCCAAACAAAAAACAAAAAGCCCCTGGCCGCAAGCCCTCAACACATTAAGCTCGTTGAAACAGTAACTCCCCAAAGCTACAAGCCCTATCTATTTCGCACTTCAGGGATGTTGACGTTGTCTGGGGTGGGCACGCTTGAGATTCGATTCGCCATTTTCTGGGGAGCGCCGCGGGTGGGCTCTCCAGTGACACTCTCGCGAGAGTCTGTAAGAGTCGACAGCAAGGATACCGTGCAGGACTTACTGCCCTGCGGGATTTTGTGTGCAAGAACGGGCTATTAAGGGCCCCCGACGGCTTCGAAGAACTTTTGCTTCAAGGGCTTCGCGTGCTCCAGGGGAATTTTGTGGGTCCAGGGATACAACATGATACAACGGCAATAAACCACACTCCAAAACCCTCGCCCCTCTCCAGGAGGGCCAAAGCAGGCACACCTAAGAGACGAAAAGTCGTCAGAAGTAAGGCGCCCGAACCCAGGACCTTGAAGCAACGGCACCCAAAATCCCAACCCAGAAGTCACCCCAAGGTCCCAACCCAGAAGTCTGCGCATTCAGTGCCTTCGGCCCATGCCCAGCTCCTGGATTGGGTTTGAGGATGTTTGAGGCTTTAAGGCTTTAAAGGGCCAAATGGGCCAAATTGGCCACATAGTTTGGGGGTGTAAGGCGGCTCCCGAGTAAATCAGAAGCCGAAGCGGGAAACGAACTAATCCCTGCAGCTTGAGAAGCCTCCTCCGCTCCTTCTTGTGAGTTTTGTATCTGGCGACTGTCCTGAGACCCTGAAGCCACTACGCAAAAGGCCCTCAGACCCGACTGGCAATGTCTGGTTTTAACCCGAATGCCTCTTAAACATCCCTAAGGCTCTAAGGCCAGGACAGACGATAGAACTGAGCTGGCTGAGATTTTAAGAGCCGTTTCAAGCACAGGTCGTTCGGCGGGCAGAGCCGGCGCCAGCTGTGCCCAAAGCCTCAGGTGCACTCGTCGATGCGACGGTGTTGAACGTGTTGAACGTGTTGAACGTGTTGAACGTGTTGAACGTGTTGAACGTGTTGAACGTGTTGAACGTGTTGAACGTGTTGAACGTGTTGAACGTGTTGAACCGGCATCGAGTTTTTTTGGTTTATTTTGGGATCTCCTTGTTCTTGGTTCCAGAGCTACGAAATTTTGCACAAAACCCTGAACCCCGCACTGGAAATTAGCCCAATACCCGGCTCCAATGAGTTTTAAACACCACGCCACGGAAAGCCCACCAGGCTTTGCACCTGGATCCAAGCAGATGGCGAAGCAGATCGACTTCGACTTTGACTTCGACGACCTCGAGATTCAAGTCTGGGGCTGAAGTTCTTGGAGCTTTCGCATCTTCACATCTGCACGGTTCTTAGGTTTCACACCCTGGTACTGACCACATCCAACCTGTGCATGTAGTGTGCCATGAGGAAGCACTTGAATGAGAGGGATGGCGAGTGGCAAAGAGGGGTACAAGCCCCAATCAAGGCAAACAGAACCTTTGACACCCACATCCTTCGGTGCACCCTCCGCTTTCCTGAACAAAGATGTATTCTTTCCGAGAACGCGCCCCCAAGCCCTCAGCTTAAAAACCCGCGCGGGAGGCCGCAAAGCCGAAACCGAAGCCCGTAGTCGAGAAGCCCCCCACTCCGGCGCCGGCGCCCGTGAAAGAGGCAGGGGCGGGAGGGCTTCAGAATTTCAGGGCTACAGCGGGATTTGGAGCTGTTAAGGTATCTATAGGGCGTTGGGCAGGGTGTGGTTTTGGAGGCTTGGGGGGTTTCCTGAGCATGTGCTGAACAGAGCTGGAGGGTAGGAACGCCAGACTCCTGCCACCGAAGCCCCTGGATATTGTGCATTTATTTGCTTCGCGATAGGGCAATGTTTCACCCGCTGTTGTTATCTAAAGGGGCTATCGCCCACAGCCGGGCACACCCCGGGCGGAGTGTGGGGGCGGCACGTCGAGCGCCATGCTTCGGCAGCATCCTTCCAAGTCCTGCCACCCTAAACCCCCGCCCCCAGGAGCCGCAGATCCCCAAAGAGAAACGAAGCCTCGATGATGCCCACCCCTGCCCCCCGCACCCGGCCGCGCATTATGAGCATCAGCAGCTCCTGCCTCCAGGCATGCGTGGCTTATGGGGGCACGCCGGCCTCAAAACGGAAAGGTCCGTAACAGCACGAAAACCACGGTGTTTACAGCGTTTTCTGCGCCAAGCTCTCAGCCAGCCGAAACCCGAGGCCCAACTCCCATGATGCGCGGTCTGGTGGGGCCCTGCCCTCCAGCACATGCGCCATCCCCCTGCACCACCCCCCCTCCCCAACCCCCTCTCTCCACACCCTACCCGCCCTGTCTCCTGAACCTGAAAGCTTCCCCCCCCCCCTACCCCAGCCCCGCCATGAAATCGGGCAACGCTTTCTGTGTGCCCGTCAGGGCGATAGCATATACTTCCGGCCCCCAAACGCGGCTTTCGAAGGGCATGATTTCTGAGGTGCATTTTTTGTATGGCGAAAACGCGCTATCCCCCCGGAAATGGAGGCCCCGCACGCGTTTTTTGGCGCCCCCACGGGGGATCCCAAAAACGACCCGGAGAGCATCATCGACCCTATTCTTCAACTTTTGCCGAAAGCGTATTTTGAATGATTTTGTGATTGTTTTGGGAGGGCAGCTGTCACCCAAAACAGCGCGCGAGCATCAGCGGTTCTGGCCTGGCGGCTGGGGGCTTCGATTCCGC